ATGAAAACTAAAGTACATCAATACCTATATTTTTATTGTTTTTAATACATTTTGTGCCAACTTCATTGCTCTGATTATGTCACTTCCCCATGAGTACCCACTAATTTTTTTTCTGAAATCACTTAATAAAGTCTGTTAAATCAGTAAAAAAAATTTATTATGAAAATCAGTGTTGATCCTAGGTTACCAGTGGTTTAAAGGGAAGGCACAATTTTTAAAGTTTTACCCGGAGCCATTTTTAGGAGTCCATTATTTCTTACTGAATCATATGTTATCAGTAAATTTTTAAATATTAAGAAGCCTACCATATATAGAAACTAAAAAGATATGTCTTTTCACTTCTTAAGTTCCTAATTTTGTATATTGACCCATCAAAAATCAACTTTTTATATCTGCAAACAATTTTCAAGGTTTTTTAGGCAGCCATTATGGATAAAATGTGACATTAAAAAATTCAATGTCAAGGTATTAATGTGAAGGTATATAATAAAAAAAAACTATAAGGTTTTCTGAATTTTTGTTTTTAAAATACAGAGCTTCAAATATGAACAAAATATGTTTCTGCTAACAAAGTTTTAATTTTTGAAAAAATCAGAAATTTCAAATGGCAATATCTCATAAACCACAAAAGATTTTAAGCTAAAATTTTCAGGAAGTGCTTTTCTCATTGATATAAACCAACCCTAGTTTCATCAAAATCTGAGGGGGTATATGTTGGACCCTGGTTCACTTGGCATGGAATGACCCATAGTTCTTGATCATCTTCTGGGTCCTCATTCAAATAACTGTCACCTCTTACTTATCCAAGATCTTCATTCAAATCATTGTCAACTCTTACCTGTCTTAGGTCTTGTTAATGTCAACACATTTTTGTCCACTTCTACCATTTGCTCAGAGAATATCCCTGTAATTATTCTAACCTTGTATTGAAAGTTGCATGGGTTATCCAGAGGTTTAACCCATACTTTATGACCAAGTTTAAATTTATTGGTTATCTTTTTATAAGGATCATGTGCTTTCTTATTGTTGCCAACTCCTCTCACTCTAATTTTGTATTGATATAACTTATTTGCATGTGCAGTAGAAGACTTACAACTATCTTTTAGGTTAACGCTATCCCAATATACTGCCTCCAGTATGCTGCATGGAACTCTCTTCACTATTCTTTTTATAATCTTTTAACAGTTCAATGACATCATTCTGCAATTCCATTACCAGAAGGTACATAAGTGCACCTAAAGCAAAGTTTAATGCCCCATTTTTTTACAAACTGTGAAAACAATGTGCTTCAAAATGCATTATGAATGTTTGTTAGTATTTCATACGGACCCCCTCATTCGAGAAATATCACATTTAACTCTTGAATAACACATAGCCTTTTGATCTTTAAGATAGCTTCATATTGCATACCGTGTAGGTCCACAGTCAATTAGAGTAAGATAGTACATGCTAAGTCATTGCCACATTTTTTTTACTTCTATTTCTCCTTTCAGACATTTTATTGGACTTGGATCAAATGACAGGCTATGCATTTCTCAAAGGTTCGCTGCAAGAGCAGGTCTTTTTTGGTCTTTTGCCCATAACCTAGATTTTCCAGTGAGTGCGCTGGTAACCCAATGGAATACCGCTTTGAAATCAGTGCAGATATGCAAAATTTTCATTTTCCAGTTAGGACCCATATTTAGTCCTTTAATTACTGCATCAAGTTCAGACATGTTTATATGTGTTGTGTCATTTTCTCTTAACTAACAAGCATCTTAGATTATATTGCCATCAACCTCAACAACCACACTTAGTGCTATTGAACTAGCATCTACCCAAATTGTTGCCTTGTGACTATAAACATTCCAAATTCCTATTGCAGGATTGTCATTCTGTATTCTTTTAACCATGTCATTCAACATTTTTTCCAGATAACTGCATTTATTATTTTTTCACCCCATGTTTTTTTCAGGGTAATTGCTTTTAACATACGACAAGGCTTTACGCAATTAACCACAAACTGGAAGATTTTTTGGCACAAAGAAACTCCCTGTCATTTTTCTCCACAAGCAAAAGATGTTATTTATTAATTGCGCCATTATGACTGGCGCAATGTTTAGTCCAAATCCCAAATGTGTTAAACAAAATCTTTGTCCAAGGAACACAACAGTTTGGTAAGCTCAGAGTTTTTCATCAATATTTGAAGATGAAACACAACCAAACTGATTGTGTTTGATTTTCAAGCGACCTCGGCTCAGTACATCTCCTTGTTGCAGAAGCAGCAAAACTTCCATTCATTCTATTGTACCGATCTTCAATTATGAGTGCTCTTGCTCGCGCAAGTATTTGTATAGTAGTAAGGTCATTCATGCGAAAACTTGATCTCAGCATCCTTTTTCTCAGGGAGCTCAGAAACAAAGAAAAATGCAATTACTTTGTCTGGTAGCCCACCAATTAGTGTAGATAATCTTTGTAGTTCCACCAAATAAATATCAAGTGCCTCTTTTTTTTTTTTTTATTTTAATTCACCTCCTCAAGGCCGAGAAGGCCACTACAGATGAGGAGGCTACTTATTTGTGGTTATAACCCTCTCTCAACTCTATAACTCTGAAACACGAACCTTGACGAGCAAGGCCGCTGCGCGGAGAAACGAGTTGAGTGCGGTACTACCAGGGACGTGGTGGGGATCGAACTCGGAACCACTCGTTTATAAACTCTTACAAACAGTTTATTACAAAAAAAGCTTTAGCTTTTTTTGTAATAAACTGTTTGTAAGCTGTAAATGCATTAACGGCAAATGCTTTTAGCAACACCTTTTTTATCCCGTCAAATGCACCATTTATGAGATAGAGAGGAACAACACTCGCCAGATCGGTAATACTACTTAGTTTGCATATCAGTTCAATTTTTTCAGCATTCTGCATCTGATTGTTAATCGTTTCCACTAAACTCCGGAATTAACTTTAAATCAACTTTAGTCAACATTTTAGTCGAAATAGCTTGTTGTTTCACATTAACTTAAGCATAAAACGCCTCATCTGTTTTGATGCAATTCAACATAATTTATATACAAACTAATTCTCTTGGTATTAACAAGTATGTCTTTATATTATATACAAGTATGTCTATACACATATGCAATTATTTACAAGTAACACTAATCAATTGTTAACTTTAAAACAATCTTTAACTATATTTACACTTTACATTATTAGAATAGTACATCCATGAAAATAATTTAAAAAATCTTTTACTTTGTAGCACATTATACATAACCAAACTCTTCACTAATTTTTTTTTTATAGCAATTCATACAAAGCCAAACTCTTCAACAATTTTCTGCAGGTTCTTTGGATTATCACAACCATACCTTATCAATGATAGATAAAAATAGGAATAAATTGGAGGCATAAATTTCAGCAGATCTTAAAAGCTCTTTAAGTTCACTGCTCTAATTTGATACAATTTAGATACTTAAAAACTAATAGTCTAAAACAATTTGCTCAAACAGGTTTCTCAGTTTTATTGTGTGAATATTTTAGGGTTTTTTCTTTTCTTTTGTTTATAAATTGAACCAACTTTGCTGAGGTGTATAAAAGCCTGCTTCTCTTTTATCAGCTTCTCACTAATACCAAAAACTCTGTCACATGGCAGGACTTGTGACTTAAAACCTTTCATGAGGGTTTATCTGTTTTTTTAAGATCTCCACAATACAATCAATACATTTCAGCAAGCAAGTAAACAGAAGTTATAAAGAACTTGTTAAAATTCTGTGTTCTACTGTAATGAGTTATCTTATTTTAAAATAACTTGAAAATAATTTAAAATAAGGTTAGAAACCATGCTTTTAAAGAACACATTGGAAATACGATTACAAGTTTATATTTTGTTTGGTTATCAATATCATGAGATCTGTAAACATGCTTCCTCTATCATCTCTAGGTGTATGTAGAGATGTATGCGATGTTAACTCTCAGTTCCTCATCAGGTTTTTGATATTATCACAGTCTTTATTGCTGTAAACAATCCTGAAACGGTCAACATAAATGAATTGGAGTGCTAAAAATAAAGTCCTTCATTAAATCAAGATTCATGAATAAAATACCTGAAAAAATTATGTTACAGTGAAATGTGTAAAGTATTCTAAGATGTGCACAGTATAATCTGTAAACGTTTAAATATACTTTTTTTATATCTCTTTATGTATTTCAAAATTTATTAATTCTAATTACTATAATATTGAATAAGTAATTTAAAATAATGTTCAATAAAAATCAAAACTCAATTTTTTTAACAGCTGTTTTTTAAATTCACAATTTTTTAAATTAAAATCACCAATAAATTTTTAAATATATAATTATTAATGATTTTAATTAAAAATATGATTTTTAATTAAAATCATTAATAAATTTTTGTCAATATATTTATATATAGTTAACATAGTTGTATAGAGCTTAAAAAGACTTAAAAAATGAGGGGTCTTTCAACTTTAATTGGATTCAAAGTTAATTGGATCCAAAGTTATTGCATTTTTTTTGCTGGAAAAACTGATTCGTTGACAAAACGCTTTGTCCTTATGTATGGAAAATTTGGCGTGAAATGGTACCGAAATAAAATTAAAAAACACCAAAAATCAAGTGCAAAAATCAAAACAAACGATTCGCAAAGGAAATAAAAACATTATATACATAATTTCTAGACAAAATTCCTAAATATCATTTCTTCAAGAAAACATAAATAAATACTTGCTTTAAATTGAGGAAAAGTCCCTTGTCCCTTTTTTAATATATATGGAAAGTTTTATACAAATTAGATGAACACCAAAAGTCAATAATTTTCATTTATTTACTGGTGAATTCGACTATTTTAAAGCTTCAACTTAATTTAAATCGAAAAAGCAACTAATTCAAAAAAAAACTTTTTAATTTAAATCGAAAAAGCAAGAAAAAGCAACTAATTCAAAAAAAAAACTATTGATTATTTCAATATTAGTATGTTTATTAAAAAAAATATCAAACCTGAGCAACGGGAGCCATTTTGCTTAAAAAAAAAGTTGTAGCAACAACACTTTGTTACCACAATTGAAAACGCGTAATGAAATTCTATTAGTGAATCCGTGCGCGCTACGTATTAGTTGGATTTTGTCTACTTTGAATTAGTTCTAACCAAACTAACCAGTAAACGGAATTTTATTTTTCTGACGGGTTTTCTTTTTTTTTTTATTATTATTAAAATTATTATTGACAAAAATATTAACTGGATCCTTAATCATTAACTCTATAAATTTACAAATACTTTGCTAAAATTATATGCATATATATATATATACATATATATATATATATATATATATATATATATATATATATATATATATATATATATATATATATATATATATATATATATATATATATATATATATATATATATATATATATATATATATATATATATATATATATATATAAATAAATATATATATATATATATATATATATATATATATATAAATATATATATATATATATATATATATATATATATATATATATATATATATATATATATATATATATATATATATATATATATATATATATATATAGAGCCGTAACCACGGGAGGGGGTTAGGGGGCCCAGGCCCCCCCAAAAATTATTAAACTATAATTATTAGGGAAAAAATATTTTTTAGGGCTTTTCCTCTGCTATGTTTGGGCCTCTCCCTATCTCTGGACCCTTATAATGGGTACCTAAAAAAAAAAAAAAAGGTCTTTAATATGTAGTATGCCCCCCCCTCCCTAATATGAAAATTGTGGTTACGGCTCTGATATATATATATATATATATATATATATATATATATATATATATATATATATATATATATATATATATTTATTTATTTATTTATTTATTTATTTATTCAGGCCCGTAGGACAAAAGTTATATTGGTGGGGGGGGGGAGTGCTACCCCAAAAGAGTTTTAAGGATTTATATATATATATATATATATATATATATATATATATATATATATATATATATATATATATATATATATATATATATATATATATAAATCCTTATAAAATCCTTTCCAAAAATAAAAACGGATTTTTATTTTTGGAAAAAAAATATTTAATGCGCTAACATGTTTATTTATGTATTTATAAAATATGTTACAATAAACATGTCTAAAAATTTGATTTAAAACTAGGCAAACATTATTAGGCTCGGTCAGTATAGAAGACGAGTGCTTTCTAGCTCGCTTATTTATATAATTAATATGATAATATAATTATGAATCACTAACTTATTAATATAATAATATAATTATGAATCAGGGCCTATGATACCGGGGGCCCCACTTTTTTTCTAAAGAACCTTTTTATTATTTTTATTTAAGAAAATTCTAGATATAGAAGACTTTTTTTAAGAATTGACAATTTTTCTTTCTCCCCCTCCTTCCCTCCCCACTTTGGCCCTGTGAATAATTATTAATGTCAACATTTAACCAAACCTTAATGGTACTTTGAAGATTGATAAAAAAAACAAAAAACACTATGTATAATTTTTTTGAATCTTTTAGGTGGTTTGAAGAAATCCCATCAAGTGTGGGATCTCTACAAAACTTTAAAAAAAATTATTTTCCACTATTATTTCAGATGTCAAAAACTTTGGTATTCTATTTTTAAAAGTATTTTCATTGAAAAATCGATTTACAATTTTAATCGATTTCGATTTATAATTGTATTAATAGTAGTATAATAGACAACCGCGTAATAACACATTGTTATCAAAAGCAAAGCAACAAAACATGGCTGACACCGAAATTGTTGAAAATGTTGTCAACTCTACTTCAAATGATACTATATCTGGTGGTGCATTGGGTAGAGCAGCTGCTACGCCTCAAGGACTTCTCCTTGCTTATGTCAGTCTTGTTGTTATGGCACTTTTGCCTATTTGGTATGGGTCATTTCGATCTGTGGTTTTCAATAAAAAACAAAAAGTTAGTTGTTTTTATATATTGATTGAACAAAATTCAAACAATTTCATATAAGAAATTTTGGACAAATAATTTTTTCTTATAAATAAAAATTGTATATTCTAACAGAAAGCTAAATTTAGTTAAATATTTTAGAGTAAGTTCTTTTAATTTAAAAATTAAAAAAATTTATTTAGGAATCAGGAGAAAAAGTCGAATCAATGAGTAAAAAAGATGCTGCAATGTTTCCAATAGTTGCTAGCTGTGCTTTGTTTGGATTATTTTTATTTTTTAAGGTTGTTACTATTTTTATATTTTTTTATTATTTCTTTATATATTTTGATTATAATTATAAGAAAACAATAAGAATATATTATAAAGGTTTATTGGTTACTGGCTTGAATAAACTTTACGGTGGTAAAGTGAACTTAAAAACGTTTGAACTAAAAAAAGTTAACTCGTAAACATTATTTCTAAAAGTATTAAAACCTAAAACTTGAAATATTTAATGTTTAGAGTTTTTTTTATTAAATACTTAAATATAAACTTGAAGATAAATAACTTATTACTATAATGATAAGGTTTTTTTAGGATATTTATTGTCTTTTGGCCTAATGTTTTCATTTCCCTGAACATAAATACTAAAACATAAAAAAGTTAATTCTGATGACCAAGAAAATAGTCTGATAAAAATTTTGTATTTTAATATGTATTGTGTAAATAATTCCTTTTTACTAATTTATATGTAAAAAAAAGTATTTCTTATATATTAATTTTTTTGATTAATTGTTTTATTTTTATTTAGTTCTTCAACAAAGAATACATTAATATGTTGTTAACATTTTATTTCTTTGTTCTTGGTGTATTTTGTGTTTCAAACTTATTGAGGCCTATTGTTTGCTATGTGTTGCCTGGTTCATTTCCCAACTCGAACTACCATGCTCAATTCTGTGAGGGTGAAGGAGATAGTAAAAAAACTCATATTGATTACAAGTTTGACAGAATTGATTTAGTATGTTTAGTTTTTGCTGCTATATTTGGAGTGTGGTATTTAATTAAAAAACATTGGATTGCCAATAATTTATTTGGACTTGCTTTTTCATTAACTGGAGTAGAGTTGCTTCATTTAAATAGGTATTGTTAAACATGATTTATTTTAATGCCATCAATCTAGTTTAGTGTTTTTATAGATAATTATAGTATTTCTTTTATCTTTTTTTTTTTCAATTTGTTAACTAATAGCTTGCCATTAGTAATATACATATATATATATATATATATATATATATATATATATATATATATATATATATATATATATATATATATATATATATATATATACATATACAACATATTATATTATATACCTTTTCATATTCCACCCCCACCCCCCAAAAAAAAAAAAAAAAAAAAAAAAAAAAAAAAAAAGCTAATTTATTGATATTGTAAGCATTGTGGAAATAATTAAAAAGCGTAGTTTAAAAGTGATTAAGGTCATGATGTACAAGAAATATAAAACATCTCAAGTAAAAAAGTTAATAGTGAGATGGAATAGATCGAAGTTTGTTTCATAAGACAGCACAGCTTTATGAAGTGGTACTATGCAACAAAAAACCCAGTTAGACAACTGTAGACAACAAATTAGTGAAATGTTTTTATAGAATTTATTGTAGTATTTTTACTACAAAGCATTATATACATCATGCAAAATGTGTTAGTAAGAGGTCCAGCTAAAAAGGAATTGATTTCTTTGAAAACGCCCAAGAAAATTTTGCATTACATCATCTAAATTGAAATAGTTAACAACAGTCAAAGATTCTCTTTAACGATGAAAATAAGTTTATGCAGTTAGGAATCAAGTTTGTTCAATGTTCAGTAGATACAAGATATGATCTTAAATCCCTACTGTTTACTGTAAAACATAAAGGAGGTAATGTAATGGTTTTAAGATATTTTATTTGGAAACAGTGTTGATCTGCTTCATAAATATTGACTTAGTTGTGATTAGACCCCATTGATCATTTATGGTAACATGTTGATGGTCAAGAATTAGGCATCAATATTACAAATCATGGTAATTTAATCAGAAAAATCAAAAAAAAATTTTACTCAATTCCCATTGATGTTTGCGTCAATTTCGTTGACTTTATGTCTTGCAGGTGCAAAGCTGTTTTTGGTTCTAAAGATACCCCTACAAAATAGTAATGTGATTTTGCATTTCTAATAAATTTTGATTGAATATCATTGAAAAATTCTTACTTTTTAAACACTTTGTCCACAAATTTTTGAACTCATCAAAATTGTTATTTTTCTAATCAATTAAAATACGTTAATTAAATAATCCATTTTTGTTTCAAACATTCGAATCCTCTCAGAGTCTCAAAGAATGTTTGATTTATGTGAGTTATCAAATATTTTTTGAGAAAAGATTATAGGAGTTAAGATTTTGTAAGCTAAACTGTAAAAAAAGAGGGTATTGCTAACTTACTTAACTTAATTATTTGATGATTAATTCAAGTAATAAAGTATTTTTTATTGTTGATAGTTATTACATTTTTTATCGTATATTTTTTTTCCAATTTTATCAAAGTAATCCATATGTAATCCTTTTTCTGTCATTATTAGTATTAAATACTTATTACAATCCATAATTATTTATTTATTCTTGTCATGTTGGTTGTAATAAATTGCAATATTATTTGCAATAAATTTTTTCTCCATCTGTGTATTTATATTGAACATAAAACTTTATTATATGGAGCCAAATCATAATTGACCCAATTGGGTCAATTATGATTAGGGTACAAACACCCAAGGACTGGGGTGTTTGTACTCTACATTGCGATCAAATAGTTTAAAGCTTTTTTTTTTTTTTAAATAAATTTACAGAAATTTCTATTAGTTTATTATTTAAAATATGTGTAATATTTAAATTATGTGTAATACTATTTAAAATATGTGTAATATTTAAATTATGTGTAATATTATTTAAAATATGTGTGATATTTTATAGGTTTCAATTTTTTTAATGTGTTTTCAACAATGAAGTTGTATTTTAGTTTCCCGATTGGCTGTATACTTCTTGGTGGTTTATTTTTTTATGATATTTTTTGGGTATTTGGTACCAATGTTATGGTTACTGTTGCTACATCGTTCGAAGCTCCAATTAAATGTAATTTAAATTTATTAGTTTAATAAAAACTGAATTTATATTTAAATAATTTATAGTTGTTCCATTATAGGATCAGTCCAATGCAGGGATACAGAGACCCAAAAGGGACTCCAGATATCACAATAAGATTACTTCTTCCTAGTTTTTAGTATCCAGAAGCTCTAAAAATATAAAAAAAGCTTATGGACTTATGGGGAAAAAGTTAAGACTTTTAGTTTAGAGGAGCAATATATTTTTGAACCTGGAGTCTTTAAGTATAATGGTTGCAAGGACTCTGGAACTCCAGGCTTAAAAACAATAAGTTTAACAATAATAAAAACAATAAGTCATTAAATCTCATGAATATTTTTCTTTTTGCAGCTCATCAGTCAACCAATAGGTTTAGAGCTTCTGGACACCAGAGACCATAAAAATTTTGAGATATAAAGCTGGAGTCCTTTTGGGACTCGGCATCCCTGTTTCAATGTCAGGATAAGGGATATGTTTTTTTTTGTTTTTTCTTTTTTTCTTCAAATTTAAAAAATAGTTTAAAGTTTTCATAAATTTTTTTTTTCAAACTTTGTTAAGAAAAACTGTTTTACTATCTACTAATATTTTTTATTTCTATATTTAATATCTACTCATAGTTTTTTATTTCTATTATATAATCTTTGTTCAAACACTCTCAATGTCTCATTGTTCAAACACTCTCAATCTCTCATTGTTCAAACACTCTCAATCTCTCATTGTTCAAACACTCTCAATCTCTCATTGAACACTTTCTAGATTGCATAAGCGTAGAAAAATATTTTTTCTAGTTTTTATGAAACATAAGTTTTAGTAAAACATATACATAATAAGTTTTACTCTTCAATTTTACTGCATAATCATAAAAAATATTGCATAATTATTGTAATTTCTATTTTTTCCAGTTTCACATCTGATTTAAATTTTAAAACCATATTTTATTGTTATGTTTAGATGATATAGAGGTTGCCTAATATATTAGAGACACAACCAAAACTTATTTTTTTGTTGTTATTTCCATATATAATCATGTGCCCAGTGTGTTGAGAGGCTTTAAGTAATTTTGATCACATCAAGCAATAATTGGTAAAATATAAAAAATAGGATTTTTTCTTTGAAATTAAAAATATGTTCAGCTTTAAAAAAATGCATACTTGGGTTCGTTTAGAAATGTTTTCATATCAAAAAGTTATGGAACTGATTGGTGCATAAATTAACTATTTTATTCTGGATTTCATCTAGAAAGAAACTTTTCATTGAAGAATGTTTTTTATGAAATTAACAAATTAGAGAAATCAATATATCATTTATTTAACTCTTCTTTATCTATATATTTTATATTATTATTTATATACTAAAGTTATAACTTTTACATAATGTTGATGTACACATCATCATTATGAAATATGCATTGTCAAAGAAGCACAAAATAAAATGACTTTTTCACTTATTTCATACTTAGTATTCTTAAGTGTGAGACTTGTTTTTCTATTATTGTTATGTATTAACTTGAAATATTTCTGTAAATTGCTGCTCTGATAAACAGCATTCAGTTTTTAGTTTGCTGTTCTAACAAACAGTTTTTTCTTTACTTAAGATTGATTAAAAACATTTCAAAGGAATGAAGAATGATATCTATAATAGTGATGTGCCATCGACTAAGGCCGATTAAAGCTAATAATAGGGTTTAATATATGTTTATAAAGATAATACTCTAAAATTAGATATGCAATTTGTATATATAAGGTATGCCTATGCACCAGTTTGATTTGGCTTATTATCCAATGCTGATGCATTGGCAAATGCTGATTAATCAACCAATGCCATCAGCCGATTAATCAGCCGATGGTTAAGCCGATTAATTGTTTGCTGGTTACTAATAGCATAAGTTAATAGGTCAGATCACTTCTGATGAATAGGTACATATTGAATATATAATTTAAACCTTTAATATTATTATAATACCCTTAAATAAATACATTAAACCTATTATTAGCCTTAATCGGCCTTAGCCAATGGCACATCACTAATCTATAATAATGTACTGCAAACATTTTATGATATTTGAATAATTGAGTGGCTCTACTGAGTCATACTAAAAAATTATAAACAGTAATGATTCAAAATAATATCTTTTAAATATTATAATCATCTATAATACATCATCATGACTTGTTTTTGTTGATTTTATATTTACACTGTTTAATTATTTTTTTTTTTAATTATTTTTTTAGTAATTTTCCCCATGGATTTCTTGGAGAACGGTGTCAATGGTAAAAACTTTGCAATGTTAGGTCTAGGAGATATAGTGATACCAGGTATCATGTTAACATGTTTATTTTGTTTTTGTAAACAAGGCTGTTGTACAGAGAAATATGTTGAGCGCAGTGCTTCCAGGGTTGTAGGAATAATTTGAACCTCCTGATTGTAAAACAAAAGTTCTACCAATAGTCTGCTACCACATAATACTCATACGCTATTTTTATATATTTAGGTATTTTTATTGCACTATTGCTTCGATATGACAACAGGTATAGTATAGTTTTTATATATAAGTTTTTAATATAGGTTAATATAATAATATAAGTTTTTTTGTAATCAATTGTATAATTTAAAATTATTTATATTTATTATAGTTAAAACTTTATCAAACTTTATATACTTTATATATTATAAATACTTATAAATATATTATAATTAGTTAGTAATATGGCAAGTTGAATTTGTTTTCATCAGTATCGTCCCATCCTGGTATTATGCTGTTTTTTTTTAAATTTAATGAAAATGTTTTTTGTTTGTTTTTTTAATTTAGTAAAGGCAAAGGTTCATACGCATATTTCTATGCTAGCTATATTTCATACTTTTTGGGACTGTTGTTAACAGTTGCTGTCTTGCATTTTTTTAAATCGGCCCAACCAGCTTTGTTGTATCTGGTGCCTGCTTGTATTGGAAGTGCACTCCTAACAGCTCTTGTTAAAGGAGAAATTTCTGAGTTAATTAAGTATGATTTTATTATATAACTTCATCATATCTTATATAAGTTTATCATATCAAAAAATTATTTGGTAATTATAGTAGCACACAGATATTTATTTCGAAATTCTTTTCTCAAAGTTAGTTATTTTGTTTAGATACGAGGATCATCCCGAAGAAATGTTAGCTAACAGAACAACAAATTCTGTAAAAAAAGAAGAATAAAGAGTCGTAAAAAAAATTTAATATTTATTTTTAATAATGGTGTAAGATTAATTTAGAAATAAAATTTCTAAGACAACACCGCATTATTTTTAGATAAAAACGCACAGTGTTTCAGAATCTTCAAAAATTGGACAAAAATATGTTAAATAAAAAGTAATTTTACAGCTTAAAAAATAATAAGTGTTATTTTACAAAACATTAGGGCTATTGTTTTGCTAAAAAATTTACTTTTAAAATTAAATTTTCGTTCTTTTTTTAATAATTAAACGCCTTAAATTATACATTTTAAGTTAGGGGTGAATTTATGAGACAGTTTAACGTGTTTTCAGTATTAATATTTAGACCAATCAAAGCCTTAAAATAAAGAGAAAATTGCGTTATTTCTTTTAGATAAAAGAAGTAAAATCTTTTAAAATCCAAGTATTTCAAAATAAATATTTTTAAAACTACAAAAAGAAACTACCCAAGTCAAAAAGTCTTATAGGATATCGTATAAAAAGGATGTTGGACATTACTATAAGAAATTTGAACAGGATTTTTTATAGGATAAAGCGATTAAATGCAACCTATGGGAATTTCTTTAGGATAGGATTCCTATACAATCCTGTTCCAAAATCTTGATCTATAAGACGCAAATATAAAAGTCTTATAGGTATGGACGTACAGAAATCCTACAAAATCCTGTTCCAAAATCTTATAGGAGTCCTATTCTATAAGACACCATATATAAAAGTACTACAGGTATGGGCGTACAGGATTTCTATTCAATTCTGTTCCAAAGCCTTATAAGAATTTTGTTCTATAAAACACCGAACAAACAATATCCTATAGTTTTAGGGATCGCCTAAAAAACGAATTCTAAAACGCCGAAAAGCCGAAATGCCGAAAAACCATCTTAGAGTAAAAGAATAAAAAACGGAATGAGAGCAATGAATTACCGGTAGTCAACACCCGCGTTATTAATGTTTAAATTATTGTTTTAAATTTAAAAAAATTCAAAACATGTAAAATTAAAAAATAAAATGCAGCAGTAAATTTTGTTTAAAAAGACAGAACCAAAAGCCAAATTTGGCTTTGGCTTTTGTCCTTTTAAACTTTGCATTTACAAATGCGCAATAAAAAATCCGGGGGATATTTAACTTTTCGTTGTCTTTTTTGACGGTTACCGAATTCTATTATTACGCCATTTTTTTCGGCATTTCGGCTTTTCGGCGTTTTAGAATTCGTTTTAGGCGATCCCATAGTTTTATATCTACAGAAATCCTACTTAATTGAGTAAAATCGTTATACATATAAAGTCATGTATAGTTTTATATGTATAACAACTTTAAAACTATGTATAGTTTTATGTACAGAAATCCTACTTATTTGTACATAAAAAACTATGGGGTATTGTTTATTCGGTGTCTTTTAAGATAAAAACTCCTATAAGATTTTGGATCAAGATTGAATAGGATTCATGTACATATAAAACTTTAAGGTATCGTTCATTCAACGTCTTATGAACAATATATTATAGTTTTATATATACAGTAATCTTATTCAATCGAGTTTGAAATTTTATTGGATTGCCCTTTGCACCTGTTAAAGGATATTTAATAGGAGTATCATAATTTAAAACAGGTATGTATATAATATTAGTGTTACTTGAGCATTATCTTTTATTTCCTAATTTAATAAAAACCAAGGAATTAAGTTCACAAAAAAAACAACAACAACAACAACAGAATATTGATTAAGTTAGCAAGTTAGTTATTGTTATTAATTACATCAATTGTTAATGTTATTAACATAATGTTCTCTATCAACAATAGTTTTCTTAAAAACAATAATGCTTCGTTGGGCAAGTTTGCTTTCATCATTGCACTTTGCAGCATTTTTTTTTATGAACATAGCATAATTTTCCCTTGGAAATCGCTTCGCTAAGAAGTCTGAAAACAAAAATATGAACCCAGCCAACATTGACAGACGGGTACCGTACGGTTTTTGTCTGTGATTACGGGAACGGGATTTTGACGGGTAAGTGTTTTGGTTTCCAGACGGGTCCCATATGGTAATAAAATCAAGCATATTTGCTCGTTCGGGTTTTATTTGGTTTTTATCAGGGCTGAAGAATCTGGGGATTTGACGGGTTTCCCATAAGGTTTAAAAAAAGTCATAACAAAACTTACTCGGTGGTTGGCATTTATAATTCGTATTGTGCGTGAAATAAATTTAAAAATTTAACTTTTATGCATTATATACTTTGTATACATTTTATTTACATTGAAATTAAAAAGAAAAATTTTTTTTGATGTATTTTTTCAAAGTGAAACTCTATTAAAAAGACGTTTTAAAGAACTTTTTTTATATTTTTTCAAATAAATTTACAAAGTTTAACATATTTGTTAAACATACGTTTGAAACTATTTAACCTGTAGTAATTATTCCATTGAGATACTGTTTGCATTTTTAAAATGAAAGTTTTGTTTCTGCTAGTCATTGTAATAACCGGTTTGAGTTTAATCAAAATATTGATTTAGTCAGAAACATTTAAAATAAGCAAACAGGCGAATGGTATGTGATGCATAGGTTATATTTAGGGAATTGAAAGCTTTCAAATCATTTTTACAGATCCACTCTTTTCAATTGATTTTTCTATATTTTATGCAAGCAAAATGACTGATGTTAACAAATTTATCCACCGTCAGATATAAATAAAGATATAATTAGATGTTTAAATGCAAAAAAATGACTTTATTGTTAAACATCAACGTCATTTTTTAATGATTGATATTTTTTGACTTTGATTTAAAATTGTAATATTAACAATAATTTCATTACGTACTTCATAATAACTTATACTTACAATACCTATACTTGTAAATACTTGTAATATAATACTTATGTTTATAATACTGATAAAAATTTTATTGATATGAACTTTTAAATTCAAACTTTAGTTATAAAAAAAGTGTATTATAAAATTAAAAAATAAGTATTTAAGTATAAAAAAAACACATGTATTATTATAATGTATATAGGGGAGAACGGAGTGAGATGAGACAAAAAAATTTGTTTGTTTGCCGCGCTTTATATTTTTATCAAACGCCATACAATTTGGTTTAAAACTATAGTCTAATGAGTTGTCATGGGAAATTATTTAAAAACCCATTACTTAAGCATCAAATTAAGTTCACGGCCTCGTTTTTTTAATGTGACACTGTTTTTCCCATGTCACCCCATGTTGGGGTGAAATGGGACAACGTTTGGGATGAAATGGGACAAGTTAGAAACAAATAATTTTGAGCATTATTTTATTCTGTCTATTCTACTTCTTATATAACATAACAATACACAACATTTATTTGTGTACAATTAAAATAAGATATTCTAAATGCATTTATAACTTTGTTCAACAAGGTCGCTTGATGTTTAAATAGAGTCAATATTGCGTTGATGCCTCAAGGGGTAACTTTTTTTCTTTTTCTTATTTTTATCTTCCTTTTTTTTTACATTCTAATAAACTTACAACTAGTTCATTTCTTGTTGGTGTGTCAGTCAATACCAGAGACCTAGAACATTTTCTTTTTGCACTTTTTCTCTTTGTCACCCTCTCACCCGCTTTTGGAAATGGCCTTATATCTTCTGCTGTCCAATTGTAGACAGAAGTGCTTATTTGCTTTTTCGTGTCATGAATAACTTCTGATTCAATAGATAGTGGTGTATGGATCGTTTGTATTTGCGAATCAGATAATTTACTTAAATTATAAGCCTTAGTTGCAGGGTCTTTCTGATTGTATAAATTAGCTATACTGACAGAAATTGTTTTTTGAACCGGTTGAGAAATACTGCTGGACAAACTGGCTGATAAGGTAGAGATATTTGCTGGAATTGGCTGGTCAGATACATAAGAACATAAAAAGTCTACATCACTAAAAACATATGGATCGTATGGGAAAATGCCAGCTGCCTTAAAACCATTTTGAATGTTTTTGGAAGTAAAGGCTCTCGCATAAGCTATTCCTAAATTTTCAGAAATGTCATATATCGTCTTAGGAGTATTTGGATGTACCTTTAACCATGAATTACACGCTGAACTGTAAAATTTCTTCAATGGTCCAAATACTGATCTGTCAAGTGGTTGGAGTTTGGGGTGGCAATGTCAAGAGCACAACATTACTTTCCTTAGCTTTATTCATCAATTTTTTTTTTATTTTACTTCACCTCCTCAAGGCCGAGAAGGCCACTACAAACGAGGAGGCTACTTATTTTGTGGCTATAACCCTCTCTCAACTCTATAACTCCGAAACACGAACCTTGACGAACAAGGCCGCTGCGCGGAGAAACGAGTTGAGCGCGGTACTACCAGGGACGTGGTGGGGATCAAACTCGAAACCACTCGTTTATGAAGCGAGCGAAAATTCAATTGATATATGACTTTTGTGGTTGTCCATTATTAAAAGTAATGGATGATACTGGCTAGGATGTCCATACTGCACAAAATGATCAAACCATTTCAAAAATATTTCTGTATTTATCCATCCACTAGGATTAGCATCACCTTTGGTACCTGTTGGTGCACCTTTAAGCATGCAGCTACGAAAGTGGACAGAGGGAAATATCAAAAACGGTGGAATAGAATTTCCAAGAGCATTTATACAACCTATCATTGTAACTAGGGTTCCCCTTTCAGCAGAAGTTACCTGTCCTACTTGCTTTACTCCTTTACCCGCAACCACCTTTGCTGGCTTATGAACAGTTGAAAGAGCTGTTTCATCAATATTGTAAATACAATCATCAGAAAACTTATAGCGCTTCTGTACACTGTCAAGGTTTTTGAAGAAAGTATCTACATTGGTGCGATTGAAACTAGTTTTTCTACTAAGGCTGGTAGCTTCTGGCATACGAATAGATAATTTTGTACAATTTAAGAATAAATAAAACCATTCAGTTTCAGCTGTTTCACTCTTTTTCCAGTTTTCTGGTATTTTAATGTCATTTTTAATTGCATATTGATATGCAAGTTGCTTTGTTTCTCTAACAATAAGTCCATAATGCATATCAGATGCTTGACGAAGATAAGTTTAAAGTTCATCTTCTTGGGCCTTATTAAAAATATATTTATGTTGTTCATCAAAGTATAAGTCATTGTAAGAAGTTTCTTTATTAACATTTATTTTCCGCTGTAAACTTGATTTCAAAATTTTATATTCCAGTGCAGCTGCTCGTAGTGATAAACTACCAGATTCAACAGCCATCACAGCAGCTTTTATTGTTTGAGCATCAGGCTTTAACCGATTCGTCACTTGTTTGTACTTTCTTGGCATCTGAAAAATATTACACACATTACTCACTCTATTATTCAAAAATTATGCTTTTTTAAAATTGCATAAACTAAAATCCATATTATTAATGATAATAAATTAGTACCACAACTCTAAAAACTTATAATGAGATTAAATTTAAAATGGGTAATAGTAAAGAACTTTATTTAAACTGAATTATAAATACAGTGCTAAAAAATATTCTTTATAAAACAATACTAACTGTGAAAAATGTCTTTAACAACCAAGATAAAGTTTCAAAGAAATTCTATAGAATTATTTTTTTTTCTAAGAAAAAAAACATATTAACATAAAGTAAACATGGAAATCTTGCCATAAACATAAACATAATTTTCTGCTAACTTGTTTTTTTACAAAAATAATTGATTGAAAAAATTAAAACATAACAAATTAAACAACTGATAAAATTGAAAAGTGTCCCATTTCACCCCAAGTCTCCTGTCCCAAGTCACCCCATCACTAGTAGGTGTGAGAAAACCTTTATTTTATATAGTTCTCTTAACCATTTGCTAATTATATTTCTTCAGTAATTAAATAAGACAATAATGATTAATTAAAAACCATAAACATAAAAATATATGGAAACATAACATAAATATTTATCGTTAATGATGTCTTCAAAATCCAGGAAACTTGTTAGACTTTAACATATTCGAAAATAATTTGAATTTTAAAATACTTTTGAAACTCAAAAAACACAATAATATGAAGTACTTATTGTAATCTTATCACATATATAAAAAAAACTGCTTTAACAATTTTTTTGATGAGAAATTCATCATGTCCCATCTCACCCCATGTCCCATCTCACCCCGTTCTCCCCTACATCACGCTAACTATGTTGTCTATAAAGTAGGGGTTGCAGCTGATATTTCAGCTTCAGCTTTAAACTCATTCGCTTCGGATTAAAGCTGAAGCTGATCAAGTCAGTTTAATCAGCTTGATAGCTGATAGTAAAAGAGAATAATACTCCATAAATATTTTATATAAAAACATATAGGAGTTTATTCAATAAAAATCTAAAATAGTGACAAAATTTAAACATACATAAAAAAAAATTTAAATAAAATTGTCCAAAATTTGTTGCTATTTATAAACATTACCGTCAGGGCCAAGGCCTGGACTCACAATTTTAGGGGACCCAATTGAGTTTTTAAAGATTTGTTTAAAAAGTGGTGCCCAAAAATCTAATTCCATTTTTAATTATCTTAGGGAGACCAACTATTTTTTGTTCAAAAAGAGTACATTTTGCAAGTATTTCATAGGTGAAAAAAAAGAAGAAAAAACGATAAAAACTTTATTTTCTTTTAAAAACTTTTTTCTTTACTAAATGAAGATGCTCATCTAATAATGTAGCCACATCGGAACAACTTTAATTTTTCATATTAAATTTGACTGTTAAGACGGCAGATAATATTTTTACAGAAAGTTGCAACTTCTCACTGCTCCAATAATCATTCCTTCGTGAAAATACTCTTTCAACAGCAGCATTAGTGCCTGGACAACAAAGAAATTTCACTTAAAAATTTTAAATTTTTATGCGGGATATGTTCTACTTTAAAGTGCCGAAAGATTTCTACCCATCTTTTGTCAAGTTCTGTTTTCTCATCATTTCATTTTTTCAAATTTTCTTCATTTAAATATAAATTTACTTTTTGAATTTCTTCAAAAAGAAAATTATCATTAATAACAATATCTTTTACTTCCTTCATTACAAATTCAACTGGTAAAGAAACTTCTTTCCTTTCAATTTTACTATTTAGAAGGGTCCATTTGAAACAAATCAATGCTCTAAAGTTCACTATCCATTCTTCCATATATTCATAGCAAATTTTATAAAAATTTTGAACTTCTTAGCGCTAATTTACATCTCTACCCCCCTATTTTTATTTTTGATTATGATAGAGAATTTTATCCTGATTAAGAATCGTATAAAAACATAGACCTGAAAACCAAAGGAAAGTTCTCTAATTTGATGTTGAAGTGTCAAAAAATATATACCAAAAACACTAATATTCGCCATCTTTTTTTATCACATTTTAAAATTTCACTATTTAATTACGCCTGGTTTCTGTTGTTTGAAAGTAGTTAAAATACCCGAAAGTATTCATGAAAATTCCTATGCAAAAAATTCGTAAAAAATAAAATGTAATTATAAAAGACTCTATCTATAAGGAATGTTTCTGTATTTCTGTTTTGAATTAAAATGGCGAATGCTAGACGACCAACAATTATTGAGTTTGATAGCCTTAATTTACCGGAAATTGGTCGCAGGTTTAAAAACAATAATAACGAGTGCATCCGGTGGTGCAGGGAGTTTGGTTTACTTGCTATCAATATGATCTGTCCTCGATGTAACATCCAGTGCAACGAACAAAATAGCCATAATGTCGATGGAAAGATTTGGAGATGCATGCAAAAACAATGCAAAAAGAAAATAAGTATTCGTGTTGGAAGTTTTTTTGAAAGATCTCAACTGAAACTTTGGCAAATAATAGGTATTACCTTTATTTGGACTCGTAGCGCCGGAAAAAGTCGTGGCCTTACAGTAGAAGACATTCAAAAGGATTTAGAAATTGGTAGCAATAAAACTGTAGTTGATTGGAATCAATTTTGTAGAGACATTGCCGTTACTTATTTCCTTAACAACCGTGTGCAATTAGGAGGGCCAGGTTCAATAGTGGAAATAGATGAATCACTTTTTTCAAGAAGGAAATACAACCGGGGTAGAATTGTAGAAGATCAATGGATTTTTGGTGCGTACGATATAGCAACTAAAGAAGGGTTACTCATTCCTGTAGCGAACCGCGATGCAGCAACCTTTTTACCCGTCATTATACAATGGATTCGTCCTGGAACTGAAATATGGAGCGATATGTGGGCAGCATACCGAGGTTTAGCTGCGCAAGGTTTTCAACATGGTACAGTAAACCATACTTTACCGCAACAAATGTTACAACAAACAGGGTTGAGGCAATGTGGCAAAGAAGCAAAGCCAAATTTAAAGCTATGTTTGGGCCCACAAATAAAGAAATTATTCCCGATTATTTGTCAGAAGTTATGTGGGCACAACGTTTTAAAGAACACTCTTATTTTCACTTTTGGAACCAAGTTGTCGATGAATATCCCGTTTGATTATAATTTTTGTATATAGTAATTTTTGTATTATAGTAAGATCTAAAATCATTATTATATTCAGAAAAAACTTATTGAAATTCGAAGTTTTTTCAAAAAAAAATACTAAATTAAAAAGAAAATATACTACAAATTTCTCCATAAAATGTTTTAGCAAAATAAAAACCAGGCTAAAAAGTTTTTTAATGATTAATTTCATTATGTTTACCGCCTTAAATATTAACTTGGTCGTGTTTCAAAAAAAGATGGCGAATATTAGCGTTTTTGGTATATATTTTTTCAACATCAAATTAGAGAACTTTCCTTTGGTTTTCAGGTCTATGTTTTTATACGATTCTTAATCAGGATAAAATTCTCTATCATAATCAAAAATAAAAATAGGGGGGTAGAGATGTAAATTAGCGCCTTAATGTAATTTACTTTCTTTATTATTTCCTTGTTTTAATATTGTTTTATTTTATTTGTTTATTTTATTAAGGTGTCGCTCCATTGACTAGTTTATAATATGAGTAACACCGAACATAAATTTGTAAATTATAATTAAATTTTTGTTTTTTTATTTATGGTAATTAACCTTAAGACCATCCATAGTATTAAAGGCAAAGTTTTTTTATTCTTTTATTTACAGGATTTTGCAAAGTTGTAAGTACATGTTTGCAAAGTTATAAGTGCATGTTTACAAAGTTATAAGTGCACGGTTTCAAAGTTATAAGTGCACGCTGGCAAAGTTATAAGTACATATACATTTTTTTGGAAATTATTTTTTTAGCTTTAATAATATTGCGCAAAATATTAAATTAAATTACAGCATACCAATCAATGTGTTGTTTTTTTTTGTTTTTTTTTTAAAAAAAAAAGTGATTAGTTAGTGAAAAATCTTTACATTTTTACTTATTTTAGCATATTGTTATATATCATTAACTTTTCTAGATTAGATACTTTCATAATTTTAAAAAAATAGTATACATTATTTAATCATAATATTTTAAAAAGGCATGCAAAATATACATTATTAAAAAAAAATAAACAAATCATTTTAAATATTTTAATTAGATAAATTCTTCTCTTCTTATTGCCATTTGCCATCTTCTCATATTTATAATGATTATCAGGTGATAAAATATATTATAGAGTTTCTTCAACAGTCATATCGGGATTAGCATTTCTCGTGGATTTGAAATTGGATTTTAACATTGAAAAGAACTTTTCGATTGGGTTCAATTCAGGGGAGTATGGTACTAAAAACATGTGAGTAATATTTTTTTCTCTTAGTAATTGAAGTACTGCAGCTGCTTTATGAAATTTTGCACTATCTAGGATAAGAATTTTATTTGAATTTATTGCAAAGAATGGTACTAGTTTGTTGTTGATGAAATCAATAAATGATTGTGTATTGTATGCGCCGCTTTTGTATTGGTAACATTCAACTCCTAAATTGGAAATTAAGCATATGAGGCTAACATTCTGTCCTTTATTTGCAGGAACTGTCAAGTACGCATTTGTATCTTTTGGAGAATAGCCATATGAGCGCACTGTATTTTTATTGAATCCGGTTTCGTCTTAAAAAACCAATTTTGAATCAGCAATTCTAGGAACTTTTGCCGCCAAAATTGATCTCTGATTTATTCTTTCCATGGTGTTTCTTTCTTGAGGAATGATTGCTAATCTTTTCGTGTCAAATTTAATTTCTTTAATTTACGGGAAACAAACGAGATTGAAACGTTTTTACCATGATGTTCTAAAATTTGCGTTTGAATTTCTTTTTGAACTACGGCATCGTTACAGACCACGGAATTAAATATTGTCTGTTCAATGTTTGTATTTATAGAATTTTTGATTTTATACGTTTCTTTTCTTTTTACTGTAGATGACGTGAAGGTAGGGCTGTTCAGTATGCTAATTTGTTTTCAGAACATAGCTAATTGAAGTTTTTCCCATTCAACTATCATATTGTGGTTCAAAAATATTTTTTACTAAATTTTATTATTTGCTCTAAAGGTCCCTCAAAGCCATTAAACATTTGACAGGTCCCTAATATTATTAAAAAAAAAATTATTTAAAAATATGTCAACTTGGTACTCAAAAGAAGCAAAATTTTATAAAAATTTTAAAAATTAGATTCATTTTTTATAAAAAACAACTTAAAAAAACTTATTATTCAAAATGTTGTGAATATTACCTTTTTTTCATTTTTCGTTTAAAGACCATAGTTTTTATTCAAAAAAACCTAATATTGTTTTTTTTATAAAAAATACTTTTTGTTTTTGAAATTTTAAAATGATTTTGCTTCTTTTGAGTACCAAGTTGACATATTTTTAAATAAATAAATTTTCAATAATATTAGGGACCTGTCAAATGTTTAGGGGCTTTGAGCGACCTTCAGGGCAAATAATAAAATTTAGTAAAAAATATTTTTGAACCACAATATGATAGTTGAATGGGAAAAACTTCAATTAGCTATGTTCTGAAAACAAATTAGCATACTGAACAGCCCTAACGTGAAGGGTATATTATTATCACTATTTTTTATAACACTACTAACAGCATTTTGAGTTAAATTACAAGCGTTGGATATTTCCTTGATTGAATATTTTTTACAATTTCTCATTGAAATAATCGTATTTTTAGTTTCTTCTGTAATTGTTTTCCGTACTTTTCCTTCTATTGATATTTAAAATATAAGAGTTAAAATTAATTTTATAAATGCACTTACAACTTTGTAAACGTGCACTTATAACTTTGCAAACGTGCACTTATAACTTTGCAAAACCCTGTAATTAAATAAATGGTTAAAAAAAACTTTGCCGTGCATACTACGCATGCGTCAAGACTGTCAAGTATGCCGTACATTCTGCACATCAAAGATCAGCCTGGGGATTATTTACACAAATATTAGAGAGATGGATTATCCATCTCTTTTCACATATGTAATTTGACGTTGTTAGAAAAAGAGGTCTGTAGTATCTATAGTATCTATATATCTCTCCAGGTATATATATAATACGGCCTCACAATTTTGCTGAAGAAGGCAGGCATGTGCGCAGGCCTTGTGATGAATAAAAACTGCGCGACGCATAAGCACGACGTGATTTTTGACGTCATTAAATTCTTTTTATTTGCTTTTCATATTTATCGACATGAGTTTAAAATCAATCTTGCTGTTATCATATGTGATGCAAAAAATATGTTAATTTTGTTAGTTATTTTGTGCAGTTTTTTTTGTGAACTTGGTCATAAGGATTAACTAGTTTACAATCAGAGCCGGCGCTAGGGTATTTGGCGTCCTAGGCAAAAAAAATTCAACCCCCCATCCTCCCTCCGTAAAAAAATATTTTAATTTGAAAGAGCAAAAACATAAATATTAATTTTATTTAGAATGGCATAAACATTATAAAATGGTGGACATATTTAAGTATTAAATATTTATTTTTGACATTTTAGGATTTCAGCCACTCAACTTTTATTTACAAGAATAAAAATATTTGAGATTTTATGACATTCAAAGAATAAAAGTAACATTTAATAGAATTAATGAAGACTATTCCTAATATTTAATCGCACCAAAATAATAATAATTAATCTAGCTTATCTCAAGAAATAATAATAAGTAATAATCTAGAATTAAGAATAAAAATTGAAAACTAAAAATTGAAAAGAAAAAAACTTGTTTCTGATTTGATGTTTAAATTATCAGAGATTTTGAATTTCAGAAACTGGAAAGTTCATTTTTATTTTGAAAATATGTAATTATAAAAATAAAAGCATATTTAAATTTTTATTTTTCTGGCTTTTTTTGTTGCAAATGTTTTTACAATTTCTTTCAAATTTAATATTGATGATTCTTCGTGTTCTATCGAAATTATTGATAATCCCACCAGTCGTTCTTGTAACATTGTCGACCTCAAATAATTTTTAATTATTTTAAACTTCAAAAAACTTCGCTCGCCACTTGCAACGGACACTGGAAGCGTTAATAGTATTCTTAAAGAAATACATATATTTAGTAGACAGTCAATTAAACGTTGTTCAACTATAAAAGTTAGTACTTCATGTGGTGTCATTTGTTGTGGGAGTCTTCCAGAAAGTACTTTGATTTCATTACAAAGATCCGCTGCACTAATATCTTTTTGAGAACCATGAGTTAAAATTTCTTCTACAATTTTTCAATAATTCTGCTGAATATTTTGAACTTATAGAATAAATATCATGAAGGAAGCCAAACATACTATTATGCATTTGTTCAAACCTTTCCGCAATAGACTGTATAGCTGTGTCTAAAATTTTAAAATAAAATTCAACTTTAAACTTTTCTTTTGGATCTTGCAACGCTTCATCTTGTGTTTCATAATCGAACTGTCGCTTTTTTCTCCTTCTCCCGACATGTTTTTCTTCAAAATTTGTTACTGTTTCTAATTCTTTTGCAATTTCAGCAGCATCAAAAATAATTCTTTGAAAGCCTTCATTATTTCTCATTTTTACAAGTTTGTTTTTAGTAATATTTAATTGTTGTGTAGCTACATTCAAATCAACTTTCTTATTTTGTAATATTTTATTAGAAATATTAACTTTATTAAAGAAATATTTTATTAGAAATATTAAGAATGTCGTACCATGAAACAAGGGCAACCATGAACTTGAATATGCAAATAGAATTTGCAAGCCCTTTAGCCTCATTTCGGGAAGAATTTCCTACTGATGTTGTTTGTAATCTTGGGTCCTCAAATATTTGCATTAAAGCATCGTAAATTTTTCCGAGATTGTATCGTAATGGTTTTAAAGCATTAATGCGGCTTTCCCATCTTGTATCATTTAATGACTTGACAGTAAAATCTGGAAAATAGCTACGAAAAACTTGCCAACGAGAAGGTGATCCCGAAAAATAACTATAAATCTGTTGCACCACACCAAAAAAACTTATTTCATCTAAGCTACACTTGCATGCATCATTCACAACTTTTTTATTCCATGCAGCGCACATTCACAAAGTTTAGTGAATGTGCGCTGCATGGAATAAAAAACGCCCGAGGATTTATATCCAAAATTTTTCTTTGTACCCCATTCTCCTTACCCTTCATGTTGCTTCCGTTATCGTATCCTTGTCCACGGAGATTTTCAATTGGTAAATTAAAATTTTCCAATTGTTCAATTAATGTTTTTGCCAAAAAACCACCTGTAGATTTTTCGACAGGTATGAATCCTAAGAAATGTTCTTTAATTTTAACTAAATCCCCATCATGCGATGTTGGTGATTCTAAATCAACAAAACGAATTATTATTGTCATTTGTTCTGTATGGCTATTATTTGGGGTGCAGTCTAAAATAAAAGAATAATATTTAGCAAATTTTGCTCTAGTCAAGATATTATCTTTTATAGCATTTGCTAGTATTTGTATTAATTCGTTTTGAATTTCTTTTCCAAGATAATGAGCAGTTTTAATTTCTTGATTTTTAATTTTCCGCACATGTTCATTCATTAATGGGTCAAATAAAGCGAGATACTCAACAAATTTTAAAAAATTACCATTGGCGTTATTGTAAAGCTTTTCATTTGTTCCACGAAATGCCAAGTTTTGCGTAGCCAGTACTCTGACTAAGGCAATTAATCTTTATAAAATTCGTTGCCAATATTGTTCTTTTTCATTAATTTTTTGTTGGTTAATATGATCAATGGTTTTTTCTGTAGATAAACGTATATCAAGTTCTTTCCACATTTGAAAATTTAAGAGATGTGAATTACTTTTTTTATGAGAAGAAAGAAGTGCTCCAATATTCTTCCAATCGTTTAAACCTGAACCTTCTAAAGCCGGCAAACTACTTTTGCTTTTACCAAATAATTTCCAACATAAACAAAAAACTACATTTTTTGAAACTGAATATATAAGCCAAGAACGAGAGACTTCTTCTCCATTTGGTAATGTCCGCTTGTAATAGATTGATGAAAATTTTTTTTTTTGTTCATCTCGATCTCGTGGAAAGTTATATTTTTCAATTTGTTGCGGTCTATTTTTTATAACAAATTGCCGAAAATTGTCACTAAAATGAGTAGGCCAATTTGCAGGGTCACTGTAGTCTGCAGATGATAATATGCTAATTTGAGTTTCAGTTTCAATTTGTCTTGAAATATTAACAGCAGGAGTTGCTTCAGGTAGATAAATTTGGTTTTCATTGATATTTACAACTTCATTTTGTTGATTTGAAATATTAGCATTATTAACAGTTTTATCGTCAACTATCACTTTAGATTTTTTACTCACACCGCTATCGCTTTCAATAGCAGAATCAGTACCTGTAGAATGTGTTCCTGCACGAAAATATTTCAAAATAGTTTTTCTTTGACTTTCTTTATTTTTCTTTACTGATAGTCTCTTTTTCTCAGACATGGTTAAAAAACGTAAGAAATGTGTAATTATAAAATATTTACTTATTACTTGCTAGCGTACAATAGTAGAATTGAAGTAATACACTACCTTTTCAATCGATAAGAATATTGTCAGTTAAATACTTATTATAAATAAAATATAATAGTCAGCACTAAACTCTTTCGCTACCGCCGTTTTAACAAAAATCTTTTCGCTGTGACCGCACGTTTTTTTGAATAAAATTTGGATAAAATAACATAAAAAACTAATTAAAATTCGAATAGTATATCTTTTTAAAAGCGTAACAATTTGTTAGCTTTGTTCAATTAATATATAGTTTGTTACAAACCATATATTAATTGAAAGATAAACAAATGAACTTTTTAATTAAATAAGTTTTTAACACGCATCGTTGAACAGTAAGAAATGCAAGGTACTTAAACCATCGTTTTTATAAATAGTAACATAAAAAAATAAAAATAAAATAAATAAAACATTAAGTCCGAAATAAAACTTATTTAATGTATAAAAAGAACGTTTTTCTTGAAAAAAAACCTTTGTAATTACTTAGCTAAATACTCACAGGCTTCTACAAGTTAAATTTTACAGTGTTAACGCTGCTTTATTTTATTAATTACGAACTAAATTTAAAGAAATTTTTTTTATCAAGGATTACTTGAGATTTTTTAACTTTGTCAAGTGATAACTATTTATAGTTACACATTATGGCTCATACTTGTACTTGATTATGTAGAGAACTAATTAAACTTTAAGAAAAAACAAATTATGTGTCTAGATTTATGCACAAAACAGGATAAATTGTGAAGCATACTCAAAAGCCGCTACCAGCGGCTTGCAGTCATAACAAAAAAAAATCAAAAGCCGTTATCAACGGCTTGCGGTGGGAAAGAGTTAAATTGACATTTATTCAAAGAATCAGAGACAGACAGAAGAAGTATCTAGCACTCGTAACCAAACGCAAGCGAATGAATGTGAAATAACTTATTGAATATGCGGGCGATCGAATGAACATAAGGAACAGCGAACGGATAATATACAATTTAGTTTGTTGTGATTATATAATAAAAAGAAAATATTTACTTTATTTGGAAAACGCAACTCAAGTTGTTAATTATCTCTCATTTTATTAATATAAACACAGACGAGAGACAAGAAGCAGGAGTCACTATTTAATAACATTACAACACTACATGTTGCCTTTGTCTAAAGCCTGCGAGTGATACGCTAATTTGCCTTGCAGTTTATGCTCAATTACTGGAAATGGAAAATTTCTCATCGTTATATATAATTTTTATAATTATTATAAAATTATAATTTTAGTTAGATTTTTTATATTTTATAGGCAGCTGCCTAGTGCCTAGCGCCGGCTCTGTTTACAATGTTCATTCATTAGCACATATAGGAAATAATACTGTTAAATTTTAAGTACTTGATAGATATCCCTCGTTCATGTGTGCGAAGCTTTGTCTAGGGGGCTCATTTGCAAATTTAGGGGCATTTTTACAAATGTAAGGATTTTTTTATTTTATTTAGAATTTTTATTTAGATTTTTATTATTTATTGGAAAAGTTTTTAAGAGTTTTGGGGCCCTTATGACAGGTTGTTGTTTTTGAATGGAAGGGGGGCTTGTATCTAGTAGCCACGGCACTGTATAAAAGGTATATACAATATATATCAAATTATATACAATATAAATATCAAATTATATTTGTTTAATAATTTTGTAACTTATATATCAATAACTAAAGGAATGTTATTAATTTATCATATGAATCATAAGCATGTGCTTATCTATTACAAGTACATTTTAAAACGTTGAAATAAACGTCGAACCCATCAGGAAATCGCCAAGATCCGGCGGGTTCCCGATGGGTTTCCCATATGGGTCCCATTTGCAAACCCAAATGGGTCCCTTATGGTTTTAAAGTACGGGATTTGACTGGGGCCCATACGGGATACCCGGCGGGCTCACCCATATGGACCCCATATGGAAACCGCGGCCATGATCCGGCGGGATACCGTTAGTCTTCCCATACGGGACCCAGTTGACGACCCGTATGGGCCCCGTACGGTACCCGTATGTCATTGTTGGCTGGGAACAAACTAATAGTTATATATTCATTACACAAAACAAGAGGAAATAGTGGTGCCAAATAAAATATTATAATATCAATATCTAATGTCCTGAACCTTCTGCCTAAAGTTGGCTTAGATATGCTACCTTTGACTAAATTACATCGACCTCAAATGCTTTTTTAAATCTTTACCCCTAAATAACGCAATTGCCAAATCTTTGACAGCTTACCAACCGCTTCGTTAACTAATTGAGGCATACTGGTTTGTAGTCAATTGGTAATTTTTCCAATGTCCACCTAAAAAAAAGCAATATTAAATTAGTTAAATTATTTTACGATAAAAGCAAATGTCTTCTTTATCTTACTTTGATATTAAAGCATTTCAATTTTTTAAATTAATAATTAATGATAAAAATATCTATTTTTATCATTAGTTATTAATTTAAATAAAGTATAATTTCAATTCAATATATATTCTGAAATAAGTTGTAAAATTTCAAGGACTTTTACAAATAGTACAAGTACTAATCTAAAGTAAAAACCTGCAACATTACAATAAAAGTGATCATAATAACAATAATAATAGTATTGATAATAATTATAGAAATAATATTAACAATAATAATAAGATGACGATGAAGAGGAATATTATTAGTAGCAATAAAAACAATAATAATAAAAATATTATACAATCAATATTAGATAATAGCAATAATAGTAATAATAACAATTATATAGTATAAGTAGTAAATAAACTTAAGAAAAAATTAAAAAAGCAATAATAATACTTATTAAGTTATAAATAAAAATAACAATTTACTAATAAAGATAGAAGAATATTATTAATATCAATACTCACAATAACCATAAAAATATGAGAACAAAAAGTTAATAAAATTAGTAGGTATCAAGAGAGTAGTAATAATAAAAGCGTAACAACATATTTCAGAGGCTTCAGGTATAATATCTTGCTGAAAAATAGTTAAAAAGACAGTTTTTGAAATTAGTAATTGAGTCAATTGATTTTAATGGTGAGGGTAGACTGTTCCATGATTTTACACTTTGATATTTTATGGATTTTAGACCATATTTTACAGAAGAATGATTTGGTACATGAAGATTATAGCTATTAGCAGATCGTAGATGATAGCGACAGCTTTATCTAACAGTAAAAAAATTTGTAAATATGCTGGGTAGGCATTTTTGTTTATAATTAAAGACAAAATGGCAATTTAATAGTTGAACTAGATCATCAATTTTGAGTATTTTGGATAAAAAATAAAGATGATCGGAGTTAGATTGATAATGCTGAAAATATATTATTTTTAATGCTTTGTTTTGTAAGTTGGATAATCTTAAAATTTTTTGGGTGCGGATTTGTCCCCAAACTTGACACGCATACCTAAGATGTGACTAAAAAATTGCATGGTATATATTGATAAGAGTTTCAAGATTGACATAATGACAAATTTTAGCTAACATCCCATTCGATCTACATAGTCTTATTGACAAGTCCTTAAGATGTTGAGAAAAAGTTAAATTTGAGTCAATTTTGATTCCGAAATACTTTAGGTACATAACTGGATTGATTTTTTGACCACTCAGCCTAAAATTTAGGTGTTTACTGATTTTAGATTGTTTTGATTTAAAGATGATAATTTCAGTTTTACTAGTAATCAGAGACAGTTTGTTAGATTGAAGCCATTGAATTAGATTAGATAGATCATGATTAATATACTTGTTTATTTTTTTTTATGATTTGTTAATTAAAAGTAAGTTAGTGTCATCAGCAAAATGGTAGGAAGTTGTATATTTTAATGATAAACTAAGGTGGTTAATGCTTTAGTGTCAGTGTCAAATGCTTTCTGTAGATTAACAAACACACCACAAGCAAAAAGCTTATTGTCAAGAGCTTTTCTGATAACCTGAGTGATTTCAATAAGTGCATGAGTTGTGGAATGCTTGCTTCTAAACCCATATTGGTGTTTGTAAAGGCATTGATATTTATCTAAAAAGTTGTAAAGTCTGTTGTGCATAGCTTTTTCAAATATTTTACTGATGTTTGACAGTAGCGAAATTGGGCGATAGTGTGGTCAGTTCTAGAGCCTTTATTGTAAAGTGGAATAACTTTAGCTATTTTAAAGTTCAGTTGATTCATGTACATTTAAAAAGCAATATTTTAATTTATTTTTTAAAAAATAATTAAAGTTATATAAAATACATTCATTAAAACATTTAATTCAATTATAAATTAACTTTGATGACAATAAAAACCGGGTCGCCTAATTAAAAAAAGATTTTCTTAACGATCGATTTCAAAATGTAAACTTTGATGTAAAACGTATTTAAAAAATGGCGAATATTAGCGTTTTTTAGTGTAATTTTTTAAACTTCAACATCAAATTAGAGCACTTTCTGTTAATTTTCAGACCTATGTTTTTATACGATTCTTAATCAGCATAAAATTCTCTATCATAATCAACAATAAAAAATGGGGGGGGGGGAGAAACTGCACTAGCGCCCTATATACGTATATAAGTATATAGTTACTATATATTATTAAGTATATAGTTACTATATACTTTATTAAATAATTTTTCAAAAGTTATGAATTTGTGAAATCAATGTTTACTTAAAAATAAAATTACACAAAGTATGTACTACCATTTCGGTCTCAGGCGTGTTAGTTATAAGAAAAATAGTGTGTTTTTTGATTGTAGAAGATTGGCGCTGACCAAGTAATGTTGTAATGGTGAGCTACTAGATTTATCAGAATTTTAAAAGTTTAGTGCTTTAATTTTTAAAAGGAATGGATTAAATATCCAAGCATGGATTTAAAAAAGATAGTGATAATCCATTTTTTCTTTTAATGTAGTACCCCAATAAATTCCAGTCAATTTTGAAAAAAAATATATATATTTAGATTATTATTCTTGTTCACAGGTTAAAAAAACTTTTAACTTATCGTATTAAAATTAAGTTTGAATAACTTGGCGTTATGTCTACAAAATCAGTTTTCTTTCCGTAACAACGCCATAGCAACTGATATATAAACAAAACATTTATAAAAAGTTTGCTAAATTGATACTTTATAAGTAATTATGCAAAAGAGCTGAAATTTTGACATTTTGTTCTTTGTAGTAATTAAATTCATTTGAACAAAGCATTTTTAACGCATTTTAGCTCTCGAAATTGTTAGAGTTTGTTAGTTTTTTATGCAGCATTTCTATTAGAAATGCTGCATAAAAAACTTAAAAACTAAAAAACTAAAATATTTTCCTATTTTCATTAATTTTCTCTCAAATGAATTTTATTATTTTCTTTACAAATATGTTACAAACTATGTGTTAAAATGGCTGGTAAATTTTGAGTAATCATTTGACAAAAATTTGCTAATTTTTAGTTTTTAATTGGGTGACCGAGGCAAAATAAATTCAAGTAATATAAATTGAAAATTATTTAATTTTTTTTTTTTTTTTTACAACACAAGTATCCCTATATATTTCAATAAAACAAAATTACATCCCAATAAGAAAAATGACGTCGAACAACGTTATTCTAAAGGTTGGTTTTCATATAGTCAATTTTTGCAATATTTGTCGGACGACCCAGCTGTTTCCATTAATTTTAGAAGCGTTTTTAAATTTTTGTTAAAACAACAAAAACAAAACAATGGCTATGCTCCGCATGACCTAATTGGGGAAAGGTCCAGCAATTAAAGGGGCCTTTTTTGAAATTTTTAAGGGCTTATTTTAAAAACCAAGGAGCTTTTTCTTTAAGTAACTCATAGTAAAAGATAATTTTCAAATTTTTTTAGCCCTAATAACATGTTTTGGGAAGAGCCTCTGATTCACTAGCCACAACACTGGTTGTAAATTCTATATTTTTAAAATACGTTCATGCCTTAATAAAATATTATGAACCTGTAACTGAATTTATGAAACATACGTTTTTAAATAAAGTTTTTTTTTTAATTATCAAACTAAAAATATTTTTGTAAAATAAAAAATATTTCTCATAATTACTTTTATTAGTTTATGCCTATGTAAAAAGTACATAAAAAAATGTTACAAATACTGATTATGTAATAAAGACTGACATTATTTTATTTTTATAAAAATTGTTCTATTATTTTATTTGTAGGAGTGTAGTTTTTAGAAAAAATTATTTTAAAGTAACAAGTTAAAAATGTCTACTGCATAAAACTTAGATTCAACTTATTATTGTAAAGAAACAAGAATCCCAACACCTTTTTCTAGTAAAAAAAGAAGATTTTTTTTTCTTCAGCTTTAATTTATTCGGACAATATTTCTCTTAACTTTAACTAACTTGATTTGTATTTCAATTTAGTAATAGCTAAAATTATATTAATATATATATATATATATATATATATATATATATATATATATATATATATATATATATATATATATATATATATATATATAATAAGAATATATATATATATATATATATATATATATATATATATATATATATATATATATATATATATATATAATAAGAATATATATATATATATAATAAGAATATATATATATATAATAAGAATATATATATATATATATATATATATATATATATATATATATATAATAAGAATATATATATATATATATATATATATAAATATATATATATATATATATATATATATATATATATATATATATATATATATATATATATATATATATATATATATATATATATATAATAAGAATAAAGTAAAAAAGAAAACACAAATTTTGAATACACTCATTATTTAGAAATCATTGCGAAAAAGGAGCATTTAACACACTAATTCCTGAGCTACGTCTTCATGACAGAGAATTTTTTTATAGACTTTACAGAATGTCTCCTGAAAGGTATGAACACTTGCTGTCAATGGTTGCACCTAGCATAACAAAAAATCAAACTATATCACCTTCAGAACGATTGACTGTGACCCTGAGATATTTGGCTACTGGGGATTCATAACAAACACAATCTTTTTATTTTTGACTGGACAGAACAACAGTATGCAACATAATCAATGAAACAATAAAGGCTATTTGGGATGTTTTGCAACCAAGTTATTTAAAGGCACCAGAAAGTTCAGATGAGTGGGAAAAAATAGCAAATGAATTTGAAAATGAGTGGAATTTTCCTTATTGCATTGAGGCAATAGTCGGCAAACATGTATGCATTGAAGCTTCTGTTTCAAGTGGATCTGTTTACTACAACTACAAAAACTATCATAGTATGGTTTTGCAAGCCATATGTGATGCAAAATACTGCTTTACTTTGGTAGATATAGGTAGCTATGGTAGAGATGCATCTATATTTAATGAAATGGGTAAAGCTTTTAAATATAATTTGTTCAAACTTTCCAAGAACCAACAGCTATCAAATGGCACACAAGTACCACCAGTGCTAGTTAGTGATAATATTTTTGCGATAAAACCTTGGTTAATGAAACCTTTTTCAGGTAAAAACTTAACAATCAAAGAACGTAATTTCAATTATTGATTATCTAGGACTAGAAGAACAATTGAAAACTCCTTTGGAATTATGGTACCTAAATGGAGAATATTTAGATGTCCAATAAAAGCAACCCCTAAAAATATTTACAACATAAAAGCTGCAATTTGTTTATATAATTACTGTAAACTCAATGACAGCATTCACTATGTACCATCTGGATTTGCTGATTTAGAAACAAATTCTGGTGAACTTATTCCTGGAGACTGGAGAAAAATTGCGCTTGAAGGTAATGCTTTAAACATTTTACCTCAATATATAAGCAATCGATACACAACAGATGTTAGCACTGTGAGAATAACGCTAACAGAATATTTTAATCATCCAAATGGATAATTGTCATGGCAACATAATTATGTAACTAGTTGTGGGCACAATATAACAGAAAAGCAAATTTTTTTCCAATAGTGAAAAAAACACATTCTTCTGTTTTAATAATATATTGTTGTATTAATATATTAAATTAGTATTTAAAAATTACATATGACAAAATGTTGAAATTTTTTAAAAGAATGTTAACATATTATATTTCATGAAACAATATCTGGAAATTTCAGAGCAGCTAAATATTGCTAAATGTTTATTTTAGCAACTGCTTGAGTTTTAGGAGGTAATCTCTTTATTGTTGCACAAATAGATTTACAAAAATATGTAATGTCATCATTTTCTTCAAGTAACTAACTCCTAATGTTGCATTAATATTGCTCTTAGTAGTGAGTATTACATCTTCTAGTTTTGTATTTTTATCAGATCTTTTTAAATTCTTTTTTCTTATATTCATAGGAGATGTTATTTCATTTAAAGATTTTTGTTGATTACTAGATGTACTTGGCCTACATGTATTAGACAAAGTTACCAGACTTGTATTGTCATTTAAAGTTTCTTTTTCTAACTCTTCCTGATTACTTAATTCTTCATCATAATTCATATTTTCATCACCTATACATGACAAAGGTAATTCTTCAGCATTTTTTATTATATCTCTGTTATTGTTGTTTTGTATCTCTATTGCTGTTTTATCTCCAAGATTCGTCGTCGTTATTTCTCTATGATCAATGTACACATTTAACCATTGCAAAAAATCGTACTCTTTGCTGATATTGGTTCGTCCTGACATGAAGATGTACTTTTTTTTCCTCTAAAAAGCGACCATAAGCCGACCTAATATTTTTGTATTTCGATTCACACTCTTGGTCAGTTAAACCAAACGAAACTCTTATTGCTGCCCAAACATTTTTTTTTAATAACGTTGTTCTTAAATTCTGTATCGAATTTGTCATATAGTACAGGATATTTCTTTACTTCCTGCATGAAAACTCTCTTTACTAAAATCTTTCCTGATTATTTTCCCTTCTATTTTGATGTGAATTTTTTTGGGTAGGTACAATCAGCAGAGCAGAGCAGATTGGCAGAGCAGATCATTGAAATGTTAATAACGGCAGAGCAGATTATTCAATCAGCCGTTTCCAATGTGTGATCTGCCAAATAATTCGGCAGATCATTTAATAGAATTTTTATAATGTGATTGCCAAATATTTTTATGAAAAGCGATGCACTTCGAATAGAAAGAACTATGAGTTGACTTTTTAAACATAAACGTTTTTTGTTGTCGCAATACTTTTCTAAAAAAAAAGTGATCTAATGTGTGTCGTATTCTAATGTGTGATCTAATGTCGTATTCTAATGTGTGATCTGCCAAATATTTCGGCAGATCATAATGCAACCGGCAGAGCAGATTGGCAGAGCATATCATTGTAATAATAATCACGGCAGAGCAGATTATCACAGACAGGCAATCAGCCATTTCCTATTTTGTGATCTGCAAAATTATATTTTAATAATGAGTGATCTGCCAAATAATATTTGAATAATGTGTGATGTGCCGAAAAATATTTGGCAGATCACACATCTGCCATAATGTGTGATCTGCCAAATAATATTTGGCAGATCACACATTAGAAAACGGCTGATTGGATAATCTGCTCTGCCGCTATCAACATTACAATAATCTGCTCTGCGACACCTATGACACGACTATAAAACAGCCTTGCAAGACAAAACTTGTCGCACGACTTATGTTTCCATATAATCGCGCGACTGTCTTGCGACAGTCGCATGATTGTTGCACAACCATTTTAGATATATGGAAACCAACCTTAACGTCTTTCGTATCGTTGGAAAGACATTGGCATGATGTTATAAATGAAACACCGAAAAAACGTCATTTTACTAACGTTATTACAACGATGTAAAATGACGTGGTGACAACGTTACATTTTAGCTAAATGACGTCGGAAAGACGTTAGAGCAACGTTAAATTTGAAGAAAAAAGACGTTATAAGGACGTTAGGCTAACGTTATATTTTAGCTAAAATGACGTTGAGCCAACGTCTTTTCTATCGTTTTTTACACGTTGGAATAATGGCATATATGAAACATAGGTCAACGTTATATTAACAATGTTGCGATACGTTGTAAGAAAAACGCCCTCCAACGTTTTTCTATCATTTTTGATGTTATTTCTACACTGCAAAAAACAATAAAGGACAATTTTACCTTTGCAATGACATCGCAAATGGTGACGCTTTTTTCTAACGGATGATAATAACTTTTTTAAAAGAGGAAAAAAGAAAAAAGTAAACATTTATAAATTAAACGAAAAATAAAATCAACTAAAAAAGAAGAATGAATAAATGTTTTCAAAGAAGAAAAGAAAAAGAAATATTTGAAAGGAAATAAGTAAAAAAGTAATGAAAATAGAAGTTAAAAAAAAACAACAACTAATGAATGAAATAAAAATGAATGGAAAAGAAAGAAAATAATAACTATTTCTATCGTTTTTCTATCGTTTTTTTATCGTTTCATTACATCGAAAAAGATTGGCAAATCAAGATTTTTTTATTTTTTCATATATTTCTTTAGGTTTATTTCATATATTTCTTAGGATTCTTTATTTAAGATTTATTTTTTAGTTTTGCTGTTATGCAGTCTTGTAGTAATGTTTTTCTTTTTTTAATTTTTTCTTTGGTTTTTAGCGTATTAAGTTTTACTTTATATATTTTGTTAGTCATTTATTGTTTTATTTTTTAGTTATTAATTAAATAATTAAATTAAATATTTTTAAATAGTGATATATAATTTTTTATACAGTTATATATTATTTGTTTTTAGTTTCATTTTAGCTATTTATTATATATGTTTTATTCTACCATGTAATATTATATATTTTTCTTCTTTATTTGTTGTTGTTTTTATTTTTTATTTTATGTTGCTGTTTTTTATTGTTTTTTTTTTTGTTGTCAAAAATATTTAACGTAATTTTCTGTTTTGTTCATAATGTTTGTATCTTTTGTTTTGTTTTGATTTTTTAAGTGTTTTTCTGTTTACATTTTATTTAATTAGTTTCTGGTTACATTTTTACTTATTTATTATTTGCAATATATTTTGGTTATGATATTATAAGAGCTATGATTAATATATTCACTAAATCATTATAGTTTTTTTTAGCAATAGTTGTTTTTATGTCATCGTTAGTTGTTACGTTTAGTCAGTTTATTACTGTTTGTAACTGTAACTTTGTATGTATAAGCGATTGTTGTATAGAAAATTATACCGATTTATTTAAATTGCTATATTACTTATATTAATTATTATATTATTAATATTAGTATTTTTAAAGTAACATGTTAATAATATTATTATTATTATTTATTATTATTATTTATAATGAATTATTATTATTTATTATTATTATTATTATTATTATTATTATTATTATTTATCATTATTTTATTATAAATATTTTTATTATTATTATTACTATAACTATTTTAATCATTGTTTTTAGGTGTTTATTTAATATTAGTAGTTTATACTATTTGTAAGCATCCTTGAAATGTAATACCAAATATTTCAGAAAAATATATCGATTGATTAATTTTACACTGTATAACTTTGCGCAGTCAAGCTTTATTTCTTCTTATTTATTTAGGTTATACACGATTATTATATTACTCCGGGCAAATAATTGAATACGGAAATTAAAAGACTAAAAATAAATAAACATTGCATCACTTCTATTCCAAAAATTTTAAAATTATGTACAATAACTTAGAATGAAACTACTTTGATTTTTACTTTCTTTGCAAATTTCAATCATATCTCAAATAATTCGCGTATTCTTTGTTTGACACTAAAAGACAAATATATATGAAGAAACATAAAGTTACAAACAAATCCAATTAAAAGCATTTTTTAGAACTAAATAAAAAACATTCGGAATAAACAAATAGAAATACCACAAATACCAGAAATTGCGCTAACTTTCTATTTGATGCTAACCTGAGTTTTTCTGCTTTCGAAAGATTATCGACTGTAAATCGTTTAGCAACATTATCTGAAATAGAATAAACAATACCTCAAAAAAATGCAAAACTAATGAAATTGCCTCCAAAATAATTTTAATTAAATAAATAAACAAAATTAATTTAAAACACACAATTATGAAATAATGGGAAAAAAATATGTCTAGTTTTACCCTCAAAAGATATAAAATATCTTTGAGTTCAGATTTCTGGAAAGTTATTTTTTTACAAGTGTTATTTTGGCAATATATTTTTTTATAACATGAATTGCATGGTAAATAAAGAAACTGAAATGGAAACACACAATCATGAAATAATGGGAAAAAAATATGTCTAGTTTTACCCTCAAAAGATATAAAATATCTTTGAGTTCAGATTTCTGGAAAGTTATTTTTTTACAAGTGTCATTTTGGCAATATATTTTTTATAACATGAATTGCATGGTAAAAAAAGAAACTGAAATGGTACATTTTCACTAAGCAAAGAATCAAAAATTGTTTTTATAAATAGCTCTCTTTAAGACTAATGATTACTTTGTTAGGTGTTTTTTCTTCCAATCCGAACTACTTATATTTCACTTAAGGGGGCACAACCCTATTAAAAAAGTGTAAATTACTGAAAAAATTAATTTTTCAAAAATACACTTATTTTAACTCAAATTTATCGTAGAAACTATTGCTGATTTTTAAATTTTTTCTATTCATGCTGATATTGGTCAAAATCTCATTTATTTAGATGTTCATTATTTAAATTACCCTAGCAACGCGCATAGCAACCGTTTTTAAATGTTGTTTTTCATCTTTTTAAGCCCTTTTTTCAAAGTTGATCTTGGCTTTTTGTTTGTACAAATGGCTTTTTGTTTGTACAACGACGTAATAAGCATAATGGAGTTATTTAACTAATTAAACTACTGATTTGACAGACTGGTCTTGTTAGAATGTTTGTTTATGTTTTACAAAATTGGTTTTTATTTATTTTTTTATTTTTCAGTATTATAACAAGGTAGTATGCTTTATAAGATAATTTCTATGCTGTTTTGCTAAGTATTTTTATCTATCTATGCTATTTATAAGCTTTCTATCTATTGCTTTGTATATTTATGTAACTAGTATAACTAAAAAGTTGAAAAATATTTACAAATTGAAATGGAATCATCTTGTAAGTTTCGATCTAAAAGACATAAAAGTAGGAAGTTTTATGGCAACAAACTCTCTAACAATTTTACTGAAAACTCTAAAGTTACAAATAAAGAAAACATAGCAACAACAGTTTCTTATACAAAGTTAAATGGTTCAATGGTTAAAATTGTTGATAACTGCTGTTCAAAAAACATTACAGGCAACCGAATAGTTGATATGGAATTGTTAGCTGAAACTTTTAAGATTCTTTTGTGCCCAGAGTGTTCACATAATTCAGTAAAGCTTAATCAAAAGCAGAAATTAGGAATTGCTTTCGAGTCTTTCAATGCAACAGTATGGAATCGTGTTCCAAAAGATGCATTTGTAAAACTAGTACAGTTGGAAATTGCTGCTTATGATGCAGTTGCTCATTTTAATATTGGAAATTTAGCAACATTAAAAATATATGATAAAATGCAGATGGAGTGAGGCAGCTACACTGAGCTTAGTTGCAAAGAAAGAAATCGTTCACGATTAAAAAATGCAAGTCGAAAAAATGGTGAGAAGTATAGGATGCGTCGCAAGTTTCTGCGTGGAGCTAAAAAGAGTAAGAGAAGTGAAAATAAAAATAATGAGGGTTTGTCATATGGAGCAGGAAGTTTTAAATGTTTATATCAAATTAGTTTTATCATACCTGTTTATATGAACATGGCATTTAACAGGAAAAAGTAAAAAATTTTTACCATTTTAGCTTTTTATTCATTCGCAAGTAGAAAAGGGTTATTAAATCTGACTTTTGATAAATAAAGTACATCTATTGTTTGAATATAGTCTACAGTGCAATACTTAATAGATAAAAAGGCTCCAGATAAATATAATTATTATTAACAATAGAGTTAACATAATTTTTTTTTTTAAACCTTTTTTTCTAAGATTTCCACATTTTCTTAACTTTGCCTGACTGTGGCAAAGATATTTCAAAAACGGTTTGATTAAAACTTCTCATATTTTGACAGATTGTTTATTATGTACAAGGTTGTGCAATAAACCTCAAAATTATAAGAATATATGTGTTAAAAATAAAATATAACGATTTTTCGGTCATTATGGGGGATAAAAATATCATTTTTTTTGTATCCTTTAAACAAATAAAGCACGACCCCAAGGAATAAGTAAGTTGTTAAGTTTTTGAGGTTCATTGCATACCTCTAACATCAAGCTAGTTAAATGCCAAATTTTATTCTATGTAACCTTCTGCATTTTGAAATATTTTTGCCACAAAATGGTCAATTTTTAAGTTTTTGCCCCCTAAAAATTGCCCCACAGGGCAACCCCTTCTTTTTTTTTAATTTTTTTTTTTTTTTTAATCTTAGTTTTATTATGAATTTACTTAATAAATAAAAAAAATTATTTAAATATCAAAATTAAAGATTTTTTTATTTATGGGGTTGTGCCCCCTTAAACCCTTGACCATTTGAGCAAGTGGCATCTTCTTACCAAAAGCCAATAATTTTTTAAATAAAAAAGCAGACATATCAAGAAGTAATCATTCAGAAAACTATAAAAAATGAATAAGGTTGTGTAAATTGTATGTTATGAATGTTGGACCATAATAATCCACGGCCTTAATAATCCAGTCATCCAAACCAATTTAATAGCATCAATGCATAACCAATGCATTGATTCTGCTTATTTAATTTGTATCAGGGTTGCCAGATTGGCCACTTCGTAGCCAAATCCGTTAATTTGGCCACGGCAAAAAATAATCGGCAGATCGGCACTTTGGCTTTTAAGGCAATATGCGTTTTTTTGTCTTTAGATGTTTTGTCCGTAAATATGTGCTATTATAATTTAAAAACTTTTTTATATAACTTCGGATTATATATATATATATTATATATATATATATATATATATATATATATATATATATATATATATATATATATATATATATATATATATATATATATAATTTAATAGTTAAATGAATTAAAACTTTATTTTTTTTAATATAATGCATAGTAAAACTATTACATATATATGCTTAGTAAAACTATTTTTTATTAGTAAATTATAAATAAAAAATTGAGACAAGTCAAGTTAATAACTTGATTTCTCTCAGTAAGTAATTGTATTTTTATAACTACGACAGTTTTTACGGTAGGTTGTTGTGATCTAAAAGATGATTGGTTCAATATTTATCCGATTGTCTTGTTTAAGCCAATAAGATTTACATTTTCAAAAATAAACCAATGCAATCGCGGAAAATTTGGCTACGTTTTGGCCACTTTTGGCTACTTTATTATATATTTCTGGCCACCGCATATCGCAAAATATCTGACAACCCTGATTTGTATCTTCAGTGCATAGAGACCAGTATACAAAAAAGAAATTAACTATATAGTCTTTTATTTTTTAAAGCTCCACCTGTGATCTAGACTTTCTGTTTTTAACAAAATCAGATGGTTTTTTACCATCTGATTTTGTTAAAAGTCATGAGACTTTTCAGAAATATGATTAATTTGAACATATGACAAATCACACAACTCTGGCTCCGTTTTTTCAAAATATCAATAATTGACGGACAATCCGAAAACAAACTATACAATATAAACTAGATATATTATATAAACTAGATGTCAAACTTGCGGTCCTTTATTGAACAAAAAATGATGTCGCTTTTTTTGCTTAAAAATATAATTTGCCATTTGTAAAAAGTGTTAAAGCTGAAGCAAATGTGTGAAATAAAAGTTCAAAATGCGAGTCAAAATTAACCAATAAATTAAAGATAATTTAAAAACATGTTATAATAAATATAAAGTACTTATCAAGGTTTATTGAAGGTTTATTTCTAGTTTAAATTTTAATCCCTTTTTAATCGAAAATAAATTTAGAAATCATAAATTATTACTTTACAAGTACTCTAATTTCCTCTTAACACTTTTACATATATAGATTACATATATAGATTTAAAATATATTACATATATAAAAATATATTTACTTCATATATAAAAAATTAGTTAAATAGTATTTTTTTACAAATTTAATCTGTCATTTGTAAAAAGGACAAAAGCGGCTTCACTTTTTGGATTGAAGTAAGACAACTAGTTTATATAAAATATCATTGGTTAATACACATTTGATCATTATGGAGCATACTTTTAATATCAATGGCTAGATGTGAAAACCAATATAAATGTAATTACAATAATTTTTCAGTATTCACATGATTAGGTGTTTTAGCAACATTTATTTCCTATGCCCATGTTGCTGCATTCAAACAAGCAAATTATATAATGAAAAATGTGCAACTAAATGTTTAACTGGCCATTAAACAAGGTCAAAAATTGAAAATCAGGACAAATATCAAAGGGTTTACTGAATGAGCACTTTTTATAGAGAGTTTAGTAAAATATAACATAGAATCACTTTCAAAAAGATAAAAACTATTGGAATAGGCTTAAAGAAAAAATCACTGATTAAACTTAAATAATTATCATTTTCTAATAAACTGTTTATCAAACAATTAGCCTTTCACAATATAATTGATCTATATATATATATATATATATATATATATATATATATATATATATATATATATATATATATATATATATATATATATATATATATATATATATATATATATATATATATATATATATATACTTATAACAATTTATTCATATATTGTTAATAACATTTTTAATACTTTTGACATGGATACTTTATAGTATTATAAATACAAAAATTTTATAAAAATTTTGACAATTTTCATAATTCAAATAAGCATTTTTCAACTTTTAAGAAATGAACTTTTATAATAAAAATACTTCAAAATGTTCTATTGATATCATTTTTATAGCCATTTGTATTAGTTTGCTAATGCATTATATAAATATTCACATGCAATATGTTTACTCATTTAAAGTAATATTAAAATAATAATTAACAAAATCTTTGCATTTATTCATAATGCCTTCAAAGTTCTGAATATACATAAAACAAATAAAAATATAAATGAAGAAATACAAAAGTTACCCCTGAATTAAGTCCTTAACATATTTTGGTAACTTTCCGCTAACACGTGAGAGTTGGCCTAAAAAAGAAAAAAATATAACAAAGGCACATTGAAGTGTTTTACACATAAGATCTTATTTAAATATTTTTTACTGCATTCACCAAGGTCAAGCCTTAAAGGGACTACCAAGTCCCGAGACATGTTGTGTTGATATGAAAGAGAATGTTAAAAAAAAACGTCTGAGCAAATTTTTTTTGATTAAAACTAATTAATAAATGTATACCAAGAAAAACAAATCTTGTTGTTTTAGTCGAAGCTCGTCTTCTCCGTTTTTTTTCTGGTATTTTGAGTATGTAAAATAAACGCGATTTTCCAGGCGCATTATACAGACTTGATAATTTATTCAAGCGCGTTTAATTCATAGGAGTTTTAGAGCATGACGTCATTGGAAACATTCTAGAAATTCTTTAAAAACTTTACTATTAAATTTTACTCAAATAGCTAAGGGGCCATCCATAAAGGACGTCATCCAAATAGGGAGGGGGAGGGGTCGAGTTAAAAAGGACAAAAAAGGACAAGGGGACGGGGGGAGGTTGTCAGAAAAGGACGTCACTTTATAGATTTTTTATTTTAGTTTAATTAACATGGAAAACTACGTAAACATGTGTTTTTAAGAAGATAATGTATGAGAATATTTTTAATTTTATTTTTCAAAGGTGTAGCAGCAGATTCAAACATCATTGCGAGATGAAATAAATTTTTTGGGGGTTAAAAATAGGGGGGGGGGTTTAGGATTTTATGACGTCCTTTTCAAGGGGGGTTTAGGGAAAAAGGACAACCGGTGACAAAGAAGGGGGTGAGGGGGTCAAAAATTAGTTAAAAAATGGTGACGTCCTTTATGGATGGCCCCTAACTATAGTTACTTATTTTATTAAAAGTTTATTTTATTAATTGTTCGTCAGTTTTTTACAAATCTAACGAACAATTAATTAAACCAAGCACTAAGAAAAGATATAAAAATTAAGAATATACTAATAAAATATATAATTTGTAATTAACTTTCAAAATTTTGACAATTTAAAAAATATATATTATAAAACATTTATTTTTGTAAACAAATGATAATAGTTTAAAAGTTTTACGGCTTTACAGATGTGGCTCCGAGAATGAGCCATAATATTAAAGTAATAGTTCATTTGATAATATATTCTTAAAAAAATTTATGCTAAATATCTCAAAACGCAACAAATCGTAAATAATACAATTCCTAAAACATTTCAACTTTATTTCGCTTAGTCAGCGTGTTTTTTGAACCAATAGAATTAGTTTGTTCGCAAATTTGGCGGGTTTTTAGTGTTCGATTATTCTTTTTATTCTTCCGCAAGATGTTTTAAGAACATTAAAGTTAATTATGTTTCCATGTATATATTAATTTTTTAATTTTTAAGCCCCCACCATAATATATATTGGATGTTATAATGGAAATATAAATAATGAAATAAGATCACCTCAATACCAAAAAATACATTTTTGAAAATCAGAGAAAAAATGCTTTAATAATTTTTTTTTTAACATTTACAAAGTAAATTAATAAAAATGCATTATTATTTAGGTTAAAAATTATTTTATCTAATATTTTGAAAGAAAAACTTATAACAAAAGAAATCAAAATACACGTGGTCTAGACGATTATTTTAAAAAAGTTGCGCAAATAAAATACTATTTTGTTTTTTATTTTATTTTTGTTTTTAATTTTATTTTTTTTTTAATTTTTTTTTTTTGTTTTTAATTTTATTTTGTTTTTAATTTTGTTTTATTACATTTTAGAACTTTAAAATATAATAAAAATGAATATGATTTGGAAATTGTATGTAAAAAATAACAATTGGTGCTTTAAACAAAAAAAAAAAAAATCTATGACGTCATTCACTAAAACTTCTATGAATTAAACGCGCTTGAATAAATTATCAAGTCTGTATAATGCGCTTGGAAAATCGCGTTTATTTTACATACTCAAAATACCAGAGAAAACGGAGAAGACGAGCTTCGACTAAAACAACAAGATTTGTTTTTCTTGGTATACATTTATTAATTAGTTTTAATCAAAAAAAATTTGCTCAGACGTTTTTTTTTAACATTCTCTTTAATAAAAACACAACATGTCTCGGGACTTAGTAGTCCCCTTAAAGACCCAAGCTTATTTAATAAACAGTTAGAACTGAGTAAGCATTTTGCCATGATTCAATCAGAGCAATCATGGCAAACTCATAAATATAAAACATATTTATTCACTAAATTTTGTAACGGAAATAAAATTTTAAAACATTAGAATTATTCAATATTGTTTTTTCACAATTTTGTTAGACTGCAACCAATCTAAAATGTTTAAAAATATTTATAGGCTGAATAAATAGGATGACATAATTTGTAACAGCAAATGATTTAGATTCATTTTAATTAAGTGATTGTAAATTTTTTGCTGTTTCAAAAGCTGGGCGTTAAAATATATTGTCCAGGTTTTGTTCTCTAAATCATGTTAAACATATTGAAATCAAACTCACAAACTGTTGAGCAAAACCTTTGTTACCAATTCTTAGTGAAAACTCGTTCAAATATTCTATTGTTAAGTTTAAGTTTAAGATTAAATAATGTGATTATGTATATTTAAGTCGACTTGTTCTGATTTTAAACACCTTGATAACTTAGTACCTTAACTCTGCACATAAAAATTGAAGAAAAATAATAACATTCAAAAAATATATATTTTAACTTGGCATGAGTTTTATTAAATATAAGATTAATTAGTTTTTCGGTTAGAAAGATAAGAGAATAAGTAAATGATAGTACTATGACGATATATATATATATATATATATATATATATATATATATATATATATATATATATATATATATATATATATATTATATATATATATATATATATATCTTGGTATAACATATCAATTTTAAAAACTATATCATATCACATATCATATACAAAAACTACACACAAATATATTTGACAGGTACTTTATTGAAATACTTCGGAGTTATTGAGTTGAGAAGGGGTTATAACCACAATTGAAATAAAAAGGAGCCTCCTCAACTGCAGCACTCTTTATGGCCTTTATGACCAAAATCAGCTCTTTCTTTCAACTCTGAAATTAGGGAAACATGAGATTGTGATTCATTTTGAAAATTAAACACTGACTGAGTGTATATCATCTAACACTTTGTGTGTATTGATTTAAATAAATATTTTGTTTATTATGACTAAGATCTAGTGTAAAATTTAGATGTTCTGTTGCTATTTCTGTAGGATATGTTTTTTGCTTGCTTCATAGTGAGAAGTTATGAGTTCTATCCTTACCATGTTCCTGGTAGTAACCCGGAGGTGAATAACAATAAACAAAAAATGAAATAAAAATAACTTAATACAAATACATAAAAAATTGTTTACCCTTTTTTGTGACTTGAGACTCAAACTTATGAGAGTCAGTGTTAGTTATAGTATTGTAGGAATACCATGATATGATTATACCAATATACAAATTCGTAAAAGAAACACATTACACAAGTTATAAGAAGCTTATTAGGTAATTTCTAGTCTAGTTCCACAACAAACTAAAAAACTTTCCATTCAAATAAATAAAATATATATTATGATTAAGACATTGTCTTAATATAACTTAATTGTCTTAAATTTTACTTAATATATTATGTATATTAAGTAAAAACCATGTTTTAATACAACTTACAACTGTCTTAGACAACTGAATTGAATGTCTTTAAAAAAAAGGCTCTGTATTTTTATTGGCATTTAATTAGACTGCTAAATAGTTTAATAACGGGTATTTAAAAAACCTATCATTGCATTATCTATTTGTAAACAAAGTATTATGTGCAAATATTATATATGTTAGAAATTTTTACTATATAAGTAATGTTAAATATACAAAGTATACAAAAACATAACAAAAATGTCAACAGTTTTTGAAAATCAAATAAAGTTTTAGTAACTTTTATTTATCATTAATATGATAAAAGTTTAATATCTAATTCGAATGTAGAATATAAAGAAATAATGTATTAATTATTAGTATCACAGAATATAATACCTAAAAACCATTAAATTAAAATTAGATTAAAAATAACATCTTTTTCGATAACGGTTTTTCAACCATTTTAAAAATGCGCAAGTTTGTAAAATCAAGTTGTGTTTACGTTAGAAAGCTGACGTTGCTTTGATGTCAAAAGTAAAAACGTAAAAAAAGCAACGTTGTTCCAAAGTCGTTCCAACGTTAATCAGACTAACGTCGGTTTTACATTAAACAACCAACGTTGTTCAAACGTCGTTTTAATGTTAACATTCAAGACTTTAGATGATAACGTTTTCCCGACGTTGTTCCAACGTTTGATAGCAAACGTTAGAACAACACCGTTATGCCGACGTTGGAACATCATTGGAATTTAGTTAACTTGCGTCGCGACCAAAATACAACCAAATTACCACTACGGCTTGACGTCTTTTTCTTACTGGGCATGCATTTAAAAAATATATGCAAGTCCGTCGTACCACAGGGCTACTAGGGACTTGCTTGTGGACGTTGTTGAATATATATATATATAATTATTCTTAAAAAATATTTTTCTTTGTTGTAAGGAAACTCACAGAAGACTAAAAAAGTCTTTTCATCGAGAACCTTTAAAACATAAAATAAACTTTAATGAACTAGTTCAACAAATACACATAAGTATTTTGGTATCTACTATATAGTAGAAGTAGTAGGGCTTTTTATTATTACTATTTTTCCCAATTTGTTTAATACATTTCGATGAAGTTGGTTAAGTTAATTATGATATGTTTTAGTTTTTTTTTCAGAGCAATAAGGTTATCCATTTTATTAAGTTCCATATTTTGAAGTATTATTTTGTTATGTAAGTATGGGCCACGGTATATTAAAGAAAATCGCGAGAATTTTGTTTTTTTAAAGGCAAGGTGAAGTTGCCTGTTCCTCGTGTGATATATTTGTTTGCGTTAATATGAAAAAAGCTATCAGTAAAGTATTTCGGAACAAGTCCGAGTTTCTATTTTAGCATGAATAAGATATTTTGGTAAATATTTATTTGATAGATATTTAATGCATTCAAATTTTTAAGTAAAAGGTCGGCATAAGTGAATTTATCTTTATTGTAAATTAATCTTGATGCATGTTTATTCACATTGAAGAGTGAATTTAATTTAGTTTTATGGGTACTTCCCCATGCAATATTAGCGTATGTTAGTTAATATAAGAAAAGAAGAGAATTTTTAAGTTGTCTTGGGAAAGCATAAGTTTGGCTTTGTAGAGTACGCCGATACTTTTTGATATTTTTGTGTTTATTGTATTTATATGGGCTTTCCAATTAATATTCTGGTCAATAATTATTCCAAGAAACTTAGTTATTTCAGTTCTTTTGATGTTTATGTTATCAATTTTTAGTGAAGGTAGAGTGCCTGGTATAAAGATTTAAGACGGTTGGAGTGAAACAAGATAAATATTGTTTTTTCTGTATTAAAGGTAATTTATTTACTTTAAACCAGATGTTGAGGTTTTTGAGGTCAGTGTTCATAGATTCGTAAAGGTCGCTTATAAACGGCGATGAGTAAAATAAATTTGTATCATCAGCGAACATTATTTCATCAAGTTTTTTTAGGGCTTTTGGAAGATCGTTGATATATATTAGAAATAAAAGGGGACCCAGAATGGAACCTTGGGGAACTCCGCATTTTATTTCTAGTAGGTCTGAATGTTTATTATGATCTGTAACAACGCATTGTTTTCTGCTACACAGGTAACTTTTGAACCAGTCAAGGGATATATTTTTAACACCATATCTTTCCATTTTTTTAAGTAAGATATTGTGTTTAACTGTGTCGAACACTTTGGATAAATCTATATAAGTCCCTAATACAAATTGCTTTTTATCGAAAGATTTACTCATGCTATTTACAAGATCTAAAATGGCAATTCGGTTGAGTGTTTTGTTTGAAACCCGAATTGTTTTTTGTTTAAGAGGTTATTTTGAAGGAGATATTCGTATAATCTATTGTAAACTATTCTTTCAAGTATTTTAGAGAAAGTAGGCAGTATAGAGATTGGTCTGTAATTATTTAATAAAGATGTTTCGCCTGTTTTAAAAATTGGTATAATTTTAGCTGTTTTCAATTTATCTGATACAGTACCTGTTTTAATTGATGATTTAAATATTTCGAAGATTGGTTTGCGTCTCTCCAAAAAGACATCGATAACGATACTGCTACAAATATCATCTATACCTGGAGATTTATATATTTTAAGAGATTTTATCGCAACTTCAAGTTCTTCAATTTTTAGTTCGCTAAATGCTAATTCGTTATTGTTATTAGTTAAGTATGTCTCAAACGAGTTATTTGGACAAATAATTTTTGTAGCCAGGCTAGGGCCTATGTTAACGAAAAAATTGTTAAACTTTTCTGAGATTATGTCACCAATGACATACTCTTCATTATTTATAACAACTTAGTAGGTAAACTATTTGGTTTGATTAATTAAAGTTTGGTAATGAAAAACTCCTCCTCGGATGTATCTATCGAACTCAAGATATTAATGATGATACCCTCATGAAAATAATTTCTTCAATCAAAGCCGCTAAGTTTAATCTCTCGAAACTAGGCAGCGCATCCATGCTCTTATACGGCGACTTTACCTTTAGCCAGACTAAAGGGCTATTTTAGACCGTTTTCGACAGCGTCGACCGTATTTGGGCGCTACCCAAATTAAAAATTGAGGACCTTTTTTTTTACGATATTTGAAGCAAATTTTGTTTTTTTTGCGAAAAAACCGCCCATTTTCCGCTAAAGTTTGCCAGAACGAGTGGGTACCGCCGCCCAAAATTTTTTCCTAGAATAGGCCTTAACACTATATATGAAAAACTTGTAGTTGATGACAGTACACTAGTTGTAGCGCATATCAACAAAGTGATACCAAGTTTCAACAATGCTTAGGTGAGGATTTTTTTACTCAATTGGTAACATTCCCATCTTATTGTAACTCAAGAAATAAAGCACCGGGTAATATTCTTGACCTTGTCATTACCGATAAACCAAATCGAGTTAGAGACCTTAAAAAGGATGATGCGATTTTTATATTCTGATACTTATATCAAAATGTAAAAATTGGGACAAAAACTTTACGAATCATTAGCAAACTACCAACTACTTGTGTATAAATATATGGAAATTGTGTGCAAATACATTCCAGTGATTTCTGTTCCATTCAAAACAAAAAAAGAACCTTGGACCACAGCTGAAGTTAAAGAAGCGGTTTTTCATAAACCTAATCTCTGGAGGCAATATGTCGCTTCTGGAACAAAAACACATGAAACATTCAGGAGTAAACATAAAACAGCCTGTAAACATGTTTCGAATTCAGTTTAAGAAAGACTACAAAAGCTTATTGAAACCAAGTCAAAAGGGTATGACAACATACACCCACGAGTATTACGCAACTACGTCTGAGCATTCATAATTCCATTAGCTATGATCTATCAAAAATCAATTTGCGATTCACAGGTTCTAGAGCTCTGGAACTACACAAAAAAATCATAAATCACTGTCTTAGCACTAACTTAATATTCAAAGAATAGCACGGGTTTCATCATGGTAAAGGATGCACATCAAACTTACTTGAAACTCGGGATATACTAACAGAAGCAATGCATCAAGGCTACGCCACTGATATCCATTTCACAGACTTTGCGAAAGCCTTTGATAAAGTTCCACACGTTAGACTCTTACACAAACTTATGGTATAAACGGCTTGGTCTTGGACTGCATAGCAAACTGGCTAACGAATCGTTATCAACGAGTTGAAATTGACAAGCATAAAGCTAAATGGAAATATGTAACAAGGCTCTGTGCTTGGTCCGCTTCTTTTTATATTATATATAAACGATTTGCCGGACTATGTTGCTTATCACATAAAGATTTATGCCGAATATTTCAAAATACTCGCAGTTCTAAAATCTGAGGAGGACACAAGAACTCTGCAAATTGACATAGATAACTTAGTAGATTGGTTGCATAAATGAAATATGCCTCTCAACTTCGATAAGTGTAAAGTTATGCACGTCCGGCGTGGTAACTCCAAACTTATTCAAAATTATTCGAAGCTTGATTTGAGTGGAAACAGAATTCAACTGGGCGTCACTAAACATAAACATGATTTGGAAGTACTTCTTTCAGACGATCTAACAGTAAGCTATCAAGTTAATTCATTAGCAACAAGAGCCGACAGTAAACTTGGTAGACTAAAAAAAATATTTAGAAGTCGTGGACTCTTTTTGTGGAAAGTACTCTACAAAACTTATATAAGATCCACGCATGGTCACCATGGTCAACACACAAGAAAAAAAGACATTGCTATTCTAGAGCAAGTACAACATAAAGCCACTTAAACAATCACAGAAAAAAAGCACTTGGCATATGAAGAAAGACTCCGTCATCTTGGCTTAACTACACTTAAAGAATGGAGAGTTCGAGGTGATCTGATTCAACAGTTTAAACTTTTAAAAGGTATTGATCAAATCATTTTTGAGAACCCTCAAGTCCACGCACCATTGATTTCCAAATACAATTTGCGTGGAAATTATCATTGGGTTGAACGTCAAATGGTAAAAAACTGCAAAGAAAGATTCAATTTCTTTGCTGACCGCATCGTCAATGTATGAAATATGTTACCCTTAGATGCCATAAGTACTGAATCAGTCAACTCGTTCAAAGATAGTATTTATATATTAAAATTCAATATAGATGAATGATTAGATACACGAGAGTTTTTTCTTTCAGTATGGAAGTTCCTGGTGTAGTACTTTCTCATACACAGCATACACATTTGTAACACCTGCATATACAATTAATTTTTGAAATACATAAACTCAAACTCAAACTACAACGCTACTTCATCATTAAAAAAACCCGGCTATTAACAAAAGAATATACGTAATTAATCAAACGTTTTGTTATTAAACGCAAAATAATTTCAAGCAAATTTAAACCTAATGTTGAATATAATATATATTCCTTTAGGTTTTAATTTGCTTTGAAATTTGCGGAACAAATGCACGTTGTAATGTTAGTTAACCATAAATTAACAGTGAGAAAGTTGTATTTTATATCTAAAAAGCTTATAGAATCTAATAGGATTTATTATAGACAGTTACTTTTGTTAGGAAATTGGTTTATTCTTACAGGAGTCCATTGAATCTTGTAGGAACTATATGATTTATATAGGATTATACTATTAATTCTTTTGCAGTTTTATTCTTTCTATTTGAATCTTGTAGGACCTATAGGATTGCAATTACATTTCTATAGGTATTATATTGTTCCTAAAGGAATCCTATAGAAGTTATAGGATAAATATATGTATCCTATAACTTTTATTCTAAAGATTGTAATCGGATTCCTATTGTAATCATATTGCTTACAAAGTCTTGGATGACAAACGGGCTAATCAAATCTTCAAAAAAAAAAAAATTTCTATGAAAAATATCTGAAAAAAAAAGACCTATAAAAATGAAAAAATATATGAACAATATAAAAATTTATTTGAAACTTTAAAAAAACAATCAAAAAAAATTATTATCGCAATTTATTAGAAAATAATATCAGTAACATTCAAAAAACATGGAGCATAATAAAAGAGGTTGCAGGAATAAAAAAAGAATACTTAAAAACACATGAAAGTGATATTGCAGCCTCCAAACCCCCAAAAATTGCTGGGAACTTTAACAATTTCTTTACAAAAATTGAGAAAAAACTTACTGACAAAGTAACTCTTGGAAAAACAAGTCTTAAATCATATTTATAAAAAAAGGATCTTGTAATGGAAGAACATAAAATAACTCTCAATGAGCTTTTAATTACCAACAATCAAACAAAAGCCCAGGGCTTGATGACATTAGTGCGAATGTCGTAAAAAGTATCTACAATATTATTGAACATCCTCTTATGCATATTTACAAAATGTCTTTGAATCACGGGATATTTCCTGAACAGCTTAAGATGGAAAAAGTTGTTCCTGCATTTAAAAGCGGGTACGATTCTATGGCTTCTAAATATAGACTAAATTCTATTTTTCCTATTTGTTTCGAAAATATTAGAGCGCATAATGCGCAATAGACTATACATTTCTAGTTAATTATCACCACTTAAATAATAATCAATATGGATTTCAAAAACGATACTCAACAGAACATGCTGTATTCAAACTTGCAAATGAAATTTTAAATGGATTTGATAAAAATAAATACACTCAAAGGGTATTCCTTGATCTTTCGAAAGTATTTGACACTGTTGAACATGAGATTCTTCTGTATAAACTAGATAATTATGGAACAAAAAGCATTAACTTAAAATGGTTTTGCTCCTACCTTAATAATCGAAGACAAGTATTTTCGTATAACAATACTGTTACACAACCTAAAGTATTACTTGTGGGGTCCCACAAAGATCAATTCTAGGGTCATTGCTATTCTTTTTTTATATTAATGATATCTTCTCATCTTCCAAGAAACTCAGTTTTGTTCTTTTTGCTGACGATACTCAAGTTTTTTGTTCTTTTTGCTGACGATACGCAAGTTTTTTTTTAGCCACAAAAACATTAGCTTATGTTTAAAACGGTTAATCAAGAACTAGAAAATTTAAAAGAATGGTTTTAAGATAACAAGCTCTCGCTAAACGTAGAAAAAAGAACATATACTCTTTTTACAAAATCTTCTGGTTCAGACACCATCTCTTTAAAACTTCCTGAACTGCTTATCTTCAAAACTAAACTTAAAAAAAAATATTCAATCAACTTTTTAGGTAAAATTCTTAATAAAAGTGTAAGCTGGAATGATCATATCAAAAAAGTGGAACAGAAAATGTCTAAAATTATAGGAATTATGTATAAATCTTTTAAATATAACTTGTTTAAAAAATTTTTATTTTTCTTTTATTCACAGTTGCATCAATTACTGTAACATAATCTGGGCGAGTACTTATTCGACAATTTTAAATGCAATTTACAAAAAATAAAGACATGCATATCACTTAATATTAAACGCAAACAGGTACACCAGTGTCAAGCCTCTACTAAGAGAACTTAGAATACTTAATGTCTTCGAAGTAAATATTTTTAACATACTACTTTTTATGTTTAAGTTAAAAAATCTATTACAACCAAACACTTTCCATTATCAATTTATTTCTATAAACCACAAATACTAAACAAAGTATTCAATTAACAACTTTTTCATCCCTAAAACTTCTCAATATCTTGCCGAGCGGCCACGATTGTTGAACTCGATTCTAAAACGTAATATAAAGACTTCAACTTCCACTCTACATATTAAATATGCAACAAAACAATACTTACTCAATTTTGATTATAACTTGCTTTTAAAGCCTTTATTTGACCCTAGTCATTTGATATCTTATATATTGACGCAATACGTATATGTATGCATTCAAAGTTATGTTATTATATTGACGTAAAAAAAAAATTATAATAAAAATAATAATAATAAAAAAATTATAACAATAGCAAAAAATTAAAGATAAAGGTTTTAATGCATGTGTATTATAGACAAGGTTATATCTAAATTAGTAACAACAGGGCTGGATGATAAGACCATGTCTTCTGCCAGCTTTAGTCGGAATTTATTTGCATTCTCGCAGTAGTTTATACCTTAGGAAATGTTGGTATATTCACGCTGTGCATACATGGCCATTATAAGAATCCGTGCTAATCGTGATTATTTGATACATGCTACATAATTCTTTTTATATACGATTAAGTTCTTTTATTGTAAATATAAGTATTGTGCTTATGAAACTTATCTATTTATTTCTGCTCTGTAATCTCTAAATATACCTTTCAAATTATTTTTGAAAAAAGGTCATATAAACTGCTTGAACTTCGTTGTCAAACAAAAAAAGATTTTTGTTATAGAGCCACTTGTCTATATATTTAATTTAATTTATTTCTCAAGGTTCATGTGTGTAAACCGCAAAAAAACGAAATAAGCTTCCAACATTTGTTGGAAGCTTATTTCGCTTATTTCGCTGATCAAATACAGCCGATTATCCAATATGGCCTACGCATGAGACTGCTTAAGACGAAAAATTCGCGCGAAGCGAATTTTTTTGTCGATAAGCATGCGCAGATTAATTTGCTGATTTTTTTCGCTACAACGTTTCGCTGCAGCGAAAAAAAAAGCCGGATTCATTTCAACTTTTTGCGTATTGCCATAAGCGAAAACCAATCAAGCTTTAAATATTATATCACGTGATGTCAGCAGTGAAAACAATGTGTTAAATAAGCCTTTCTGCGAACGTTCCATAAAACTTCTACGCATCCTCACGCGATGTTTGCTACATTTTCTCTAAAAATGAGGCTACTCGAATATCAGCAACAAAACTATTTTCTTCTTAAGCGAGTTCTTTCTGTTTACAGCCGTTTTATTTAATAAATAACAAAAACACTTAAAAATTATTGTATTTAATTTTATTATTTTTTATTTATTAGTATATTGTAAATAAATACGTGAAATAAATACGTGAAATTAAATTCCACCGCTTTTTTAAAACAGTTTTTATCGCGCGGAAATTCGAAGCGAGACTTGAATGTTTTTGCTTGTTCATAATGGTAGACGTTAATTTTGCGGTACTTTACGTCGTGTCGACATCATAATACGACACTCCACAAAACCAAGTAAAAGCAGTAACTGCTTAGCAGTTCCATTTTGTTAAATAAATGCGAATTGATTCTTGTAACTGAATATATATTTAATAGAAGTCTGCTTAAGTTTTGCAAAATTATTTCACAAATGTACAAAAAAAAAAAAAAAAAGTAAATGAAATAAATAGTTTCGAAAATAAAGATTTGATGATTTTAATTGCGATTAATGAAACATGTCAAAAAAATTTAAAAGATTTTTATTTTTTTTAAGATTTTAAAAATAAATTTATTTCTACTAGTGGCTTTAAACTATGCTAAAAGTGTAATTTAATATAACTTGTTAATAAGAATATTAGTAAAAGTTTTCACAATGAAGTTTTTTTGTTTGGATCTTTGCAATGTTCACGCATAAAAGTTATTTTCAAATATATCGTGTTTTGAGATACAATATTTCATATTTGTTTGATTAGTTTTAATATTGTTTTAATTTTATTAAATTATTAAACAATTTCATTATGAAAATTTCATACCATAAATAGAATAAAATAAATTTTACTATTTTACATTTATTATAAATTATACTATAATTTGTTTTTTTTAGTTTTCATTTAATATATTTCAATAATATAGTTTACATTTTTATCTTTATAACTTGTTAGTAGTGATTTACCTAATATTAACCCTATAATTTATAGGGTTAATATTAGGTAATGTTAAAGAACAACAACATAAAATAATTGTATTTATTATTATTGATATTTTTGATATTATTAATAATATAATAAAGGGTTTATTGAAAGTGAATAAATAGAATTGAAATTATTTTATTTAAATTTCTATTTTAGTTTAATTATCAATTGTTTATCTTTAATCTAATATTGATGCTGTCGAAGAAATCATCAGAGAAATTACCAGAACAGAAAATTACCATTATGGATCGCATAGCTTTGCAGAGACGATTTCTTTTTATAAAACGAATATTTAAAGTTAAGCATATGGATTTTGAGTTTGCCCTTTGGCAAATGCTTTATCTTTTTGTATCACCAAAAAGAGTATATCGAAACTTTTCCTATCATCAAGAGACAAAAAGGCAATGGTCAAGAGACGATCCAGCTTTTTTAGTGCTTTTAAGTGCTTGGTTGTTTGTTTCATCATCTATATTTTCAGTTGCATTAAGTCTTAGTTTTACTGGATTTTTGAAATTGTTATTTTGGGTTATATTTGTAGACTGCATTGGATTTGGCTTGTTAGTTGCAGGGATTTTATCAGTTTTTGTAAACAGATATCTTCGATTTCCTGGTGGTATAAAACAACAGGAAAGGATTGAATTTGGATACGCATTTGATGTGCATCTAAATGCTTTTTTCCCATTATTACTAATTCTGCATGTTGTTCAGCTAATTTATTTTTTATTCAGTGAAAACAGTTTTATGGCAAGATTTATTGGAAACACTATTTGGCTAATTGCTTTGTTTTATTATTTCTATATAACATTTCTTGGGTATAGCTGTTTACCGTTTCTTCGTGGTACCGTAACATTGTTGTTTCCAGTAATTTTGGTATCTATATTTTATTTTATCTCCTTATTTTTTCCAGCTCTTAATTTCAGTCATATGTTGATAGACTTTTATCGATATAGAGTATCTCATTATGCATTATAATATGATGAAATATTTTTGAAGTACTTTTGATATAAAAAGTTTTTCTGAACAAATTTAATTTTCAAAAGTATATTCAATAATCATGATTTTTCATTTTTTTTGAGTTTTATTTTGACTTTTTTTGTTGTTTTTAAAAAACCATTTTCTGAATTTTCTCTATATTTATATTTTTTGGAAATCACATATGTTGTCTTAATTTTCATTTGTATATAATCCTTGTATTCAAGTTATGTTATGAGGAAAATTTGGTTCACGTAAACCAGCTACATCAAAAGCTTTTGTATTATTTTAATGTTTTATTAAATTATTAAATAGATAATTAATGGAAAATCATTTAATAATAATTATCTTTATTAAATATATACTTACAAGTAAAGTTTTAAAGAATAAAAAGCTTCAAAAATCTGCGCTTAATGTTTTAGACAGTAAAATTTTTTAGGTCATTTTACTACACAATTTTAAAATTTACATTGATTTAATTTGCTGTATAAGAAATATTTAAAATCAATTAAAATAATCATAGAAGTGAAAAATATATAAAATATATGTTATATGATAGAATTTAACATGTTAAAAAAAAGTTTTTTTGTATGTGTGTTTCAGTATCAACATTTTTATGCTAAATTAATTTTTTCTACTGTTAATCTAATTTTCTTGGAATTATGCAGTGAAGCATAGTTAGTTTAAAATTATTTCTGCACCTTACACTTTATATAGTATAAAAATTTATATAGCAGGGCTCGAAATAACTGCCGATCAACGATCAATGATCAGCTATTTTTAGGGGAATTAAAATAACCTGTTTTTGTGAAAAAATTACATTTGATCAGCAAGCTTTGAAAAACTATTTCAAGCACTGATATACTATAAAATTTTTAGATGCAGAAACTTTTTTATGTTTCATTTTTTTTTCTTTACTTTTACTGTATTTTTTGGGAACTAGCTTGAAAGTTTTATCTGAACTTGAGAAATAGCGTTTGTCTTCATCTGAAATTTAGAAGTAGCTTTTTATTAAATTATAGAAAAGTTGAAGTATAAGGATTGTATAAATTTGATATATTGGTAAAGTATGTTTCTAAGTTTTCTTTTTAAAAATATTTCCAAAGAAAACATTGTCAAGTACAGCTTATGCCAGTATAATTAAAATCTTTTGAGTTTTAAACATTTATAATTTTTTATAGCTAAATTTATAGTTTAATTACAACCTTTTACAACTGTTTATTTTAAAATTTTAATATTTTAGATTTAAAAAAAAATCAACCATATAGTTGTTTAGGCATGGTTTTAAGAAAACCAAAAAGAAATTTAGTGTTTTAAAAAATGAATATAGCAGGTATGATTTTTAACTAAATATAAATTCTTTTATAAAAATTTGTCAAATTGCAAAATTTTTTTAACTTCTTTAAAAAAATTTGACATTTTACAATCATATTTTTAGATTTATCTTATTTTTTCACAATAATGTAAAAATTATATTATATTTAACACATTATATATAAAAAACAAGGATTTTTTTTTTTTAATTCCTTGATTTTCATTCAGGCTGAATTACAAGGAATTTCAATAAATTGTTGTTGAAATAGCTCAGAAAAAAAAGTTCTATTTATGTTAATAAGTTCACAACAAGGAGGTAATCCACTATTTTAAAAGGTGGTAGCCCTCCTGTCATTAAGGATTGTGAAATCAGAATTGTGGAGTTTGTGATAAGAATGTAGGTAGCAAAGGTGCTATACAGTGTAAAATTTACAACAAGTGGCACCACTGTAAGTGTGTAGAAATAACAAATGAGTTCTATGAAGTTATTAGTTTGAATGACCAGACTCATTGGTTCTGTAAAGGTTGTAACTCTGGTGCAGGTAAACTAATTATTGAAATTAAGAAATTACAAGATAAAGTTGAAGGTTTTGAGCTATCACTTATCAAACATATGGACGGAAGAAAAAAATAGACGGACGATAAATGTTGTCTGTAAGTTTCTATTTAACTTAAAAAATTTGATAAAAAAATTAACAACACTCAAAAAGAATTAAACTCCGTTATCCTAAAAACAGACGTTCAAATAGACAAAAGCATCAAGTATCAAGAGAAAAAATGGTCTAAAGTCATTTCTCAACATCTAGATAATGAACTAAAGACCAGAGCAATAGATGTTGACAAGATGTAAAATGTTCTATGACAAGCTCAATAGAAAACTGATGAAATACAGAACAAGGAAATTCCTAGAAACAACTATTTAGAGTACCAGAAAGTAACAATATCTCAACTGATGAACAATACCAAGAAGAAGAACACAGCAAAAGAAATTTCGAGGGAATGGATACATGTGGTAAGAGGCATACCAGAATGAATGAAAATCACAAGGCTAAAGAAATCTTGGCGAAATATATAATTGATAGAGTTTGCACAAATAAAATTGATTAAAATAATGAAGTCCTGTTATCTGATTATATTGATGAATCGTCATTAGTATGTTAGTACTTAAATGCAAGAAATTTGAAGGAGCATCCTAGATTATTGGTCAACATTTAAATCAATATTGCTTGATTTAAAATCAACATATGTTGCAAAGTGATTGATCAACACCAATCCTAAGTATATCCCTTATGGATAACTTGTAAAGTAACCAAAGCAATCAAAAGAAAAAGGAAAATATATTCTAGCAAAAACAAATCACATCCTGCAGTAGTTAGTGTGAATAAAAAATGCAAACGCTTAATTAGGAAAACAAAGATTGACTTGAGGTATATGCTGGCACAAAATATCAA